GGGATTGTTAACGTTCACTGTAAAACAGAGGGCACTTGCTTTTTTCCGGTTAATACAACCCCAGTATTAACAAGGGTTGCCGTTGGTTAGAACCGTGAACCAGTTGCAACAGGCGATGAAGGCGCTACCAATTAGGCCTCGCCACCGCTCTGAAACTATAAACTAAAACTAAAATTTTTAATTTTACCGATAAGGGCCACTGAGCTATACAGCTCTTTTTCAGAAGCGGCCTGGCCACAATTTATAGCTCAACGAAGTGGCTTATCATCAACGTGGATATTTATTTATACTCTAAACGCATGAAGATTCTAAACGTGGAGGGGAAAATACGGACGAGCTGGAGAAACATCCACACGACCACGGGGAGAGAGACCATGAAAACTCCAGATATACAGGAGTCGGGATCGGGATCGAACCCACGACCTCCTGTATACAAGGCGAGGTAGTTAACATCTCATAGCCACCGTGGCACGCACTGCGAGTTCTCCACCCCGCTGTGAGCCGTGAGCGAGACTGAATGTACAGTGAGGGAAAAAAGTATTTGATCCCCTGCTGATTTTGTACGTTTTCCCACTGACAAAGAAATGATCAGACTATAATTTTAATGGTAGGTTTATTTGAACAGTGAGAGACAATAACAACAAAAAAATCCAGAAAAAACGCATGTCAAAAATGTTATAAACTGATTGGCATTTTAATGAGGGAAATAAGTATTTGACCCCTCTGCAAAACATGACTTAGTACTTGGTGGCAAAACCCTTGTTGGCAATCACAGAGGTCAGACGTTTCTTGGAGTTGGCCACCAGGTTTGCACACATCTCAGGAGGGATTTTGTCCCACTCCTCTTTGCAGATCTTCTCCAAGTCATTAAGGTTTCGAGGCTGACGTTTGGCAACTCGAACCTTCGTCTCCCTCCACATATTTTCTATGGGATTAAGGTCTGGAGACTGGCTAGGCCACTCCAGGACCTTAATGTGCTTCTTCTTGAGCCACTCCTTTGTTGCCTTGGCTGTGTGTTTTGGGTCATTGTCATGCTGGAATACCCCCACGATCCATTTTCAATGCCCTGGCTGAGGGAAAGAGGTTCTCACCCAAGATGACGGTACATGGCCCCGTCCATTGTCCCTTTGATGCGGTGAAGTTGTCCTGTCCCCTTAGCAGAAAACACCCCCAAAGCATAATGTGTCCACCTCCATGTTTGACGGTGGAGATGGTGTTATTGGGGTCATAGGCAACATTCCTCCTCCAAACACGGCGAGTTGAGTTGATGCCAAAGAGCTCCATTTTGGTCTCATCTGACCACAACACTTTCACCCAGTTGTCCTCTGAATCATTCAGATGTTCATTGGCAAACTTCAGACGGGCATGTATATGTGCTTTCTTGAGCAGGGGGACCTTGCGGGCGCTGCAGGATTTCAGTCCTTCACGGCATAGTGTGTTACCAATTGTTTTCTTGGTGACTATGGTCCCAGCTGCCTTGAGATCATTGACAAGATCCTCCCGTGTAGTTCTGGGCTGATTCTTCACCGTTCTCATGATCATTGCAACTCCACGAGGTGAGATCTTGCATGGAGCCCCAGGCCGAGGAAGATTGACAGTTCTTTTGTGTTTCTTCCATTTGCGAATAATCGCACTAACTGTTGTCACCTTCTCACCAAGCTGCTTGGCAATGGTCTTGTAGCCCATTCCAGCCTTGTGTAGGTCTACAATCTTGTCCCTGACATCCTTGGAGAGCTCTTTGGTCTTGGCCATGGTGGAGAGTTTGGAATCTGATTGATTGATAGTTTCTGTGGACAGGTGTCTTTTATACAGGTAACAAGCTGAGATTAGGAGCACTCCCTTTAAGAGTGTGCTCCTAATCTCAGCTCGTTACCTGTATAAAAGACACCTGGGAGCCAGAAATCTTTCTGATTGAGAGGTGGTCAAATACTTATTTCCCTCATTAAAATGCAAATCAATTTATAACATTTTTGACATGCGTTTTTCTGGATTTTTATTGTTGTTATTCTGTCTCTCACTGTTCAAATAAACCTACCATTAAAATTATGGACTGATCATTTCTTTGTCAGTAGGCAAACGTACAAAATCAGCAGGGGATCAAATGCTTTTTTCCCTCACTGTAGCAATGAATAGGACGGGTCAACGTGTGGCGGCGACCATAGCATTCCACGCAGATTTACGTCAACTTTTTATTGTTGATTTGTTTGTTACAACTTTATCTTATAAACTCGCGAAATAAAGCTACTTGCAACAATTCCTGAACAAGGGGTCATATATACGAGGGTCATGGAGAAGGTGAAACCTGCACTCTTAGTTTGAATTCTGAACGTGAATTGAAGGTGAATGAAACTCGCCCAATATCCTCCCCCCACCGAAACGCGTTCGCATTTGTCACGTGGGGTGCTGTGATGCCTTCCATGGCAGAGCCATGGAGTTGTTTGTCTTTTTTAGAGCACACACGCGCACAGCCATTTCAGGACATCTGCCTGTGTTCAGTTTGTTGTCCTTTCCCGCACATCTGATTAGCGCGGCTGGAAACGTGCGGTGCGACACACGTTCAATATGCAACACTCGTCCATTTGTCTCGCTCTTTGCATCGCTCAAACACGCGAGAACCACGCGGACCACCCAAACTGCTTCGATATCCTCCCGTACATTTCAGCTTCCCTGGACATTTCCCTTCGCCGGAGACCTCGTCAAACGACGCTGCTGTCTCACAGCGCAGGGCACAATTAATTATGCCCCCCATACATTGGGAATACCCAGGCTGCGTTGCGCCGCTGTGTGTACGTTGAACTTCTTCCACACCGTACGTAGCCAACCGTGCTAAAGAAAATAGGCGGTCGCGCGTGGTGCGGGCCTCGTGTACCGTTCCGGCCTTCATAGGTGCTCGCTAACAGCACTTGCCCCTACAGTCTGTAAAGGCTATACGGGGTGTCTTTGTTGTGTTGAACTTCTTTTGCACCGTACGTAGGCCCACCGCGCTAATATGGGAGGTGCGGGTGGTCACCTCACGGAGAAGTTGCCGGATTGTGCCACTTGCCACCGCACAACGTTGCAGCAGAGGACTGCCATTCTTTTTACAAATTAACTGAGAACCATGCAAAGTGCAAGGAAACCACGAAGGGTTCCTCATACGAGAGCAATTTCATAATGGTCGCGGAATAATGCGCACATTGCGGGCGTTATATCGGTTAATGCGTATACTGCACCACAAGTCTGGCAGTGTCATTTTAATAACATCGCTATCAACATCAACACAGCATGTCGCCAACAGAGTTATTCATCTTCCTCCTTCGTCACATGCAAGTGAATACAAATACTCTTTGGTTCTATTCGGTAAAGTCACGTAGGTAAAAAATAAAACAACAAAAATCACGACGTTTCGGCCACAACACAAGTAGCCTTCTTCAGGTGAAGGAACAGAACTGTCGGGACGACAGAGCTTCAAAACGCTGCTAAGATTCGTGGCGTCTTTTTAAGCTGGGTGAGAGAAGTGAGGCACCTGAAGAAGGCTACTTGTGTTGTGGCCGAAACGTCGTGGTTTTTGTTGTTTTATTTTTTACCTTCGTGACTTTACCGAATAGAACCAAAGAGTATGGATCCTCGCAGTCACGAAAGCTTCAAATCTAGAATTGAATACAAATAGTGGGTTGTCCAGGACATATATACACAACTGTTAACCAAGTTAGTGCCCAATTGGTGATATCTTTCAAAAGTTGCAATGTTTTTTTTACATTACCAGTCACAAATATTTAAAAAAACAAAAATAACACCAGGGCGCATTGGTCTACTGGAGACTCGAATGACGCCAGAAGGACCGTTAGAAAATATTTAAACGAGGAAGCCGCAGATGTCCCGCGAGTTCAAAGCACTGAGCCGGCATCGGTGAGAACCCGGGGATTTTCACGTTCGTGGTCTCCGCCCAGCTACCAACGGCTCGCACACAGAAAAAGAAAAATAAACCCGCGATGCAAAATCCACTCCGTGAAGTGGGACCAATGATCATCAGAACCTCGAATGTATGAAATAAATAACCCTCCTTTTTGTTCCATATGTGCACATAAATATATATTTTGCCATATCTGTTTGCTGACTTAAATAAATAAAAAACTCACGATAGCCAGCGTATATTTATGCAAGCAAACTCTCGACTGGTTTCGACCTTCCGGGTCTCATCAGCAGTCAGACTCGCTAAACAAATAGTGGTTATCCAAGGCTTTATTTATTTTTGTCCAAGGAATTCAGTTTTGTTCATTGTTCACCTCGGCTCTTTCCCATCACATTCAAGCACAATCATTTTAAAGTCACTTAGACAACATTGTAAAAATGTGGCTATTTGGCTCGCTGATGAGTTCAAAGCGTATTGCATTCCACATGTTACCCGTGACAACAAATTTGATCTTTGACGGCTACCAACAGCAACGATGATAACTCCTTTCAGAGAGGACAAATTTCGTCAAATAAAGTAATTATCCCCAAATTCACATGAATATTAGGCAGTTAAAACGGCGTCTTTCTGTTAATATTCCTAAGGCAGTGGTGGAAATTCCACATTCTAATGACGGGGACCAGTTCATCAATAAAACACGAATCGAACACGATATGCATTTCGTGCTGCGTGCCAAACTATTGCGTAATCATCATCATCATCATCGGATGCATTTATCCATGCAAAGCCACGCACGTGCAGCCTAGAAAACTGGAGGTGATATAATTCGATTTAAAACTGCATTTTACGATAACTGATGACTGAGAACACACGCGAGTCAGGCGCATCGTAACGACTGTCAAGTGAAGAGAGCGAGGCTTGGGCAGCACGGGTCGCTGGCAGTGATGGGGGACCGGTGGTCGAGACTAACGACGGAGCGGCAGTCAATGGAGGAAAAACACCGCCCCGATGGAACGCCCTCCGTGGAGTCGGAGCGATGTACGGCGGCCAGATGAGTTATTGCATCGCGAGAGGGCGATCGATGGCGGTGACCCCGAGTGGCGGGGGGTGGGGGTGGGGTGGGGGGAGTCACCATCCCTCGCAGCGAGAGGAAGGTGACCGGCGTTAGAGATCCGACGCCTCGGCGCCTTGTTACGCCGCACGGAAGCGCGAGGTCAGAGACGACGGAGGAACCTCGCGCCGCGGAACCCGTGCCCTCAGTACGAGTAGGAAGACGAAGCCGACGATAATGAAAGTCCGAACGTGCGCTGGCTTCCCCAAGTGTCCGTGGGGAGCGGGGGCGCGGGAACTGCCCCGTGCCCAACGTAACGGGGCTGCTCTGCCGGTGCCCAGCCCAGACCCGGCTCCTGGGAGGTTTGAAGAAAGGAGCCTCCCGCGCTCTCCGCGTGCCCCGCTCCCGTCCAGAACTCGTGGCCCGTCCAAGCTGGAGAGGCTTCGTGCGACTGCTCGTGCGTGCCGAACAACGGATGGTACTTGGCGTCCAAGCCAAACCAGCTGGCCAGATGGCAGGGCTCGGCTGCTCCACTGCCAGCGCGGCTCGTCGTGGAGAAGGCGACGGTGGACGGGGAGGAGGCGGCGGCGCTGGTGGTGGTGGTGTTGTCGGGGCTGGCGGTGACCTCTGGATAATAACGGGGCGACTCGGAGAGCATCAGCAGACGCTGGAGAGCGCGGATGTATTCGGCGGCGGCTCGGAGTGTCTCCACCTTGCTGAGCCGAGTCGGCCCCGATGACCCGGCGCCTTCGCCCGACGACCCCGGCGAGAGCGGCCCCCCGGGGCAGGGGTCTTGCTGCGGGGTCCAACTGGGACCCAGGGCAGCGGGGACGCGGTCTCGCAGCGCGGCGAAGCCTCTGTTTACCAGCGCCACGCGGTTGCGTTCTCGCGCGTTGCGGCGCGCCGTGCCGGGTCTCCTGCTGCTGCTGATGCCGCCCGTGGCTCCAGCCGAGGTCCCCTTCCCAGATCGCTCTCGCACTGGGAGCAGTAGCCGGGCCCCCGCACCGCGACGCGGGGACCCCACTTCTTGACGAAACGCAAGGCGCCTCTCGCAGCTTCGCAAGAGGCGACAACCGTCGTCATCGTCGTCATCACCGCCACCGTCGCCGCGATCATCGTCACCACCATCATCATCATCATCTTCGGCGCCGGTGTCTTCTCGGGTCGCGGGCGGAGGTCGACGGCGAGTAGCGGCGGTGCAGCGAGGGATTTGCGGGCTGGTTTGGGGGGCCTCCCATGGATGGGGGCGCGTGCCGTGTGCAGCCCCCCCAGACGACATCGCCGTCCCGCGAGAATTTTCGTGCGCGCTTGGCGCGCTGGTCTGTAGCATCGTCGTCGTGGTCGTGGTCGCTTGCGCGCGCGTGCCCGCGTGCTTCTCTCTTGACGGTGGAAGTCGCGTCCCGGATATTTGGTAGCAAAGTCGCGAGTTAGACGCTGTCCGGGACTATTCTTCTTCGCTGCAAGCCGCACGGGTTTGACTCCCAGCAGCGACGGTAGACGCGGCCTTTTGAGAGGTGGGGACACGCGGTCGAGGGTGGTAGTAGAGACTCGTGGTGGGTGGGTGAGGCGGTGGGGGGGGGAGAGGAATTACCTGCAGGGTCAAGGGTTCTGCGGTTGTAAATACACTTCGGCAGCGGGTGTATATATTTGAGTGCGCAGGCGGTGCAACTGCGTGGCCCATGCCAACCGTGGCTAAGCCACGTTTTTATCTTCTCCAGCCAGGCAGCGATGTGCAACATCTTTATTATTTCAGAATCAGAATCTTTATTGTCCTGAAGAAATCCGATGGGCTATGAAGCTCTTTTTTTTGTTTCAAAGATGTCCGGTACAACGCTAGTCCTATCACACTCAGTGGCGGAGCTATCGAGTGCGCAGGACGGTGCAACTGCGTCGGGGCTTACGGGGTACCGGTCGAGGTGGCCCACACCAATGCCCACCTGGGCCCGCCCGCCCTCCCACTTCACCGGCCTGCGCTGACCAGCGTGGTGAAGTATGGTCCAGCAACCTCCAGGACTAACACGGTGTGTTCAGGACTTCATCCCGCAGTGGATTGACAATAAAATGTGAATACATTGTATTGTATGAATCGTCTGTGTGAATGAAAGCTTCAAATTAGTTTAACGCTATTCAAAGTTAAAACCGTAAAACAATATTACGCATTCGTATTTAATTGGTTAAAAGTATACACTGTGCATACCGCACCTCCGATTCGCACGGGTTGGCTACGTACGGTGCGAAAGAAGTTCAACATGCATGCAACATTAAACTTGGGACTTCTTCTGATGTCACTCGCCACTGACGTTAGCCACGGTCGGGACTTGAACTCAGAGAGGGTCGGGGTTCGCACGTTAGCGGGCAAACCACTGTGCCACCGCTCCACCGCAGGGGTTGAAAAACAACCAGCCCACACATTTTTCCCAAATGCAAACACATAACAGATTTATAGGCTGTTGGGCAACTTTCTGCAGGATGTATGTTGGGGTCAAGATTGCCACACGAGGTGCGCTGTGGAGGCCTTTGTCTCACCGGTGTTGCGGTGCACTGACTGCCAATCACCGGAGAATCGGGAGGAAACCCATGTGGAACAGGGAGAGAACATACCAACTACACTCACACACTGTAGAATATGGAGAGAACATTCCAACTCCACACTCTCACACTCTGTAGAACAGAGAGAGAGAACATACCAACTACACTCACTCTCACACTCTGAAGAACACAGGGAGAGAACATACAAACTCCACTCACTCTCACACTCTGTAGAACAGAGAGAGAACATACCAACTACACTCACACACTGTAGAATATGGAGAGAACATTCCAACTCCACACTCCCACACTCTATAGAACATAGGGAGAGAACATACCAACTACACTCACTCTCACACTCTGAAGAACACAGGGAGAGAACATACAAACTCTACACTCTCACACTCTGTAGAACAGAGAGAGAACATACCAACTACACTCACACACTGTAGAATATGGAGAGAACATACCAACTCCACACTCTCACACTCTGTAGAACAGAGAGAGAACATGCAAACTCCACCCAAACAGGCGTCCCAGTCGGGAATTGAACCATGAGCGGAGTTTGACTTCGATATTTGGATGGGCAGGGGTTCGCTTTGTACCTCAACATTAGGAATCACGGGTGCATATAATTCATATTTTTTTCCTTACTTGAAAACCACTGAAAATAAATTAATACAGGCGTCCAGTTTGGAGGAGCGTTGCTTCCCCTCTCCCGTACCCCCCTCCCCTAAATTCCGCCCATGACATTGAACCCATGGCCACTCTTGCTGAAAGGCCACACGGTTCCGACTGCGCCACGCTAATTTGGTGGAGCTCAGCTCGGAGTGATTTTGCCCAGGAGGAGGCGAAACGGGCCCTGTGCCGGACTAAGCTTGTGCGGGGCCTGTAGCATATGTTTTAAAGGGGCCCTAAATAAAAAAAAAACATAAATATTAAAGCACAAATTTTTCACTTAAATCAGTAAAGTTTTTGTATTTTTTCATTTGCTATACAGCCAGATAATACGACAAATCGCTAACCTTAAACACCCAAGTCGTTCATAAAAGTTGAAGGCAGTATAATACTATAGTAATAGAGCAAGTGCAGAATCACTGAACCTGAATTCATAGCTTGCAAGCATTTAGCGCGGGGCTCTTGAGAGTGCGGGGCCCGTAGCACGTGTAGCTACTTTTGCTACGAGGATAATCCGGCACTGCATGGACCGCTCCACACGGCCGTGGAAAGCGACCCCGAGCCGTGCTGGTGAGGACGCCTTCACAGGTGGTGGTTCGTGAGCCCCGCACCGGACATTTCACTTTGTCGGCACCACGCGAGCGTGGAGGTTCGGGGGGGTCGCGGTCGCGTTCCCCTACTCGCTCTGCGTGAGGCCAATAACGGCGAATTACGTGATAGCCATTTGCAATGAGCGGGCTAATCAATACGTTCACTCGTATGAGCCGTACAATAAATACATTTGCACCTCAACTGCAAAATATGGACGGCACCACCCAGGGGACTTGATGCGCCTGCCGCTGGCCGTCTGTGCCGTCCGCGCCTGCTCCATCGGCGCGTTCATTCATTCATTTCCAGCATTCTGCAGGAAACGTTTTGCTTTTGCGGGTCCTAACTTTCTGGTAACGGCACACCGCTATAATAAATACGAGCGGTGACCGGTTAACCGATTGCCGTTTGACAAGCCTACTTTTTAAGCGGGCACCTATACATTATGCTGAATACAGTGGCGGCGCCAGGATTTCAGGCCGGGGTGACATTTAACAAATGTTAATTTCAAGAATGATTTAGAGAGTCAGGCTGTTGAACTAGACGCCAACGGTTGGCGACACACTCTGACAATGCAGTTGCACGGAGTCCGCCAGACCGAGTGTCGTACACTTATACAGCAGAATGTCACCCCTGTCACCCCCCCTGGCTCCGCCCCTGGCTGTATACATATAACATTAAATGTTCTGGATCACCTTTGATCAATCACTAGATCGAGCGCAAAGCTTACACGCTATCGTGTGTAATAATAATTATCGATGGGCCAGAGCAGGGCAGGAATCGGTGCCACCAAAAATGGAAAAAAACTTTATCAGGAACCGATTTATATCCGTGGCCAATCAGGGTGAATTACTCGATAACCACTCTCATTTCAAGTGATTGTCACAACAAGGCCACTGTCACTGGCCACGTAAAGACATTGGAACTGGTAAAGTTACTCCACCTCAGGCGCTACCAACAAGTGAAATATCAGGTCAAGGCTCATTGCCAACAGAAAAAGTTCGGGATTCGCGCACCTCCGTTATCCTCATCGCGCATTGTGCTAATCAGGATAACGCACCTCCGATTAGCACGGTTGGCTACGTACGGTGCGAAAGAAGTTCAACATGCATATATACATACAATGTGGTTGATATACGTCAACTGCCGTGATGCGATACTCCAAATGCCGCGAGCGAGTTTGAGTTCACCGAGCTCCCAGTGCCCTCTTGTGGGCACGGGCGACTCGTCAAGACACCCACGATCGGGTTGACGGTGGAGAAAAAAAATGTAGCATGCCGTGCACACACTGTTGGTCTTTATTACGGGGGAGGCGGGGTGCTTTATCTGTAACGACAGAAGCGGTGGCATCGTGGTTAGTGCATTGCGCTATATTAACGTTAAGTTCGATTCCCAGCCAGGGCTATCATCGGTGCCAGGTGATATCTAAACCGGGCCCAGGTCCACCTTGCACCATCCCAGTGGATACACAGACACACACACATTTATATTAAATGGCAACAATTCACAGCTGAGATTTAATGGAGACAGTGGCAACATACCAAACGTAAGGAGGAGTCAAACAAGGAGATACACACTCTGAACAAAGTCACTCGTGGCAACATTATGCTACGTAACATATCTTACAAATGGCGAATCACGGGAACGCGGAGTCGAGCCAATCATATAAATGTATGGAAAGAGAAAGATGATCGAGAAGAGAGAAGATACGGGCACAGCTAGGACAAGGGGAATGGAAAGGGGAAATGATTCCGGGACGGAAATCCTTAAGACAACCATTCGTTGTAATGACTTACTCTTTTTACCAAGCAAGGCCCACTGAGCTATATAGCCCTTATGCAGAAGCGACCTGCTCACAACTAAAAGCTTAAATTAAGTGGCTTATCGTGTGGAAATGTTTAGTAGCCAAACACCCTAAACTCATGATTCTAAATGTGGAGGTAAAAGTTGGAGGACCAGGAGAAACAATCCACGTGGCCACGGGGAGAACATGCAAACTCCAAATGGACAGCAGGCGTCAGGGTCAGGATGGAACCCACAACAACCTGTATACCAGGAGAGGTAGTTAACATCTCGCCACCGTGGCGCCCCAGACAAAGAGGGCACGGCTCAAGATGAGCAGCAGGAAGAAACGAGGAGGAGCGCTGGGCAGGAAGGGCAGGAGCGGGAGAAGGAATAACCGGGCTAAGATGCCGGGGGATGAGAGGTGATGCTGAGAGGGGGGAGGAAAGAGCGAGATTCAGAGAGAAGGAAGGAGCGGGCAGAAATGAGCTGCACGGAGCAGCGTCAGTTTTCGCAGTGGGCGGGGACAGGGGAGGGATTCACAGTGGGGGTGGTGATGCATGAATCACGTGATTTACGGGAGGCTGAGCCGATTTAGAGATTTACTCTTAAAGATAGATTTTCGAAACTGAATTGAAGAAACAAAGGCATGAACACAGACGGTGGTAGTGTTGACCAGCTTAGATTTTCTGATTACAGAAATATATTTAAAATTACGGATATACATTCACCTGGATACTGTAATCTCTTGAGATGGAACTTCTCGATTGCAAGGGGGGGGGGGTCCAGATATATTAAGCTCATGAAAATAAACTACAGGACAATGCGAGACTGAAGAAGACTGCAGCGTTGAACTTAAGATGCATACGAGAAAAAAAGCGATACATATGCCAAACCAAACAGAGTTGTTATTGGAGGGACGCAACTGAATAGAAAGCAATAGAAACATCGGACGATTATTGAAACGCTCACATGGATCAAGATTAATTGTGAGTTCAGAACCCTGTACTCGCACACACCGGTATAGACAGTACTGGTACTGCATCACCAGATCTCGCTGTGTGCGTGCGGTTTTTTTTTGGGAATTTCCTCAAGTGACCTCCTGTAGCTGGCAGTCTGTGAGTAACGGCCACGAATTTCGGCTGAAACTGAGGAAAATAAATCACGGCCGATTAGATCAAAGGCGGCGCATCTCGCGGGCAATAGCAGCAGCAGCAGCAGCACCACGCTCCGTCAGTCGGACCTGACAATTTTCTGGAGCGGAAATGCTTTTAAAGAATGAATTAATTAATAAACCCCACAATCACCACGCTGCAATTAACGGGCAAATGTCCACGCCACGTGCCTGGCGCGTGCTCTTAGTGCCACCTGCTCACGCGTACACGTGCACAGACGGAATTTCAGCATTGATGACCTTTGCTGATGAGCCCCCGACAAACCAAGGCGAAAACCGGTCCAGAGTTTGCGTGTTTATGAAGCTGATGATGCTGGTTTAACACAAGTCCAATAAATGCACAGGCTAAACTCGAATTTATTTTCTATGCGGAGGTACCAGCATCGGATGATTTAATCGCACCGTCTCCACGGTGGAATCGCCTCGTGTGCAGGAGCGAGATGGATTGTCAATCCACAAAGACCGCGAGAGATTGCTACGGCTTAGGGAGGACTTCAGCCAGCAGTGGATAGACCATGCACTACGATGCTCAACCGCAGATGATTTTGTTTTAATCATCGCTGATGTGTAATGCAATGGGGAGGTGGTGGATTGGGCGGATTGAAAACCGTGAGGTACCCAGTTTAAACCGCTGGGTGGACAGAGAGGCAAGAGCAATGTAGGAAACTTGCCCCATTATTTCAAACTGCCGCGCCCTGGAGATCTAACGGACGGGCGACCTACGGATCGCCAAGTCCAGTAGTGCTGACCATCGACTCACGATAAATGGGGCCTTATGGAAGTCAACCGAGACATGGCCACGCCACGTCAAGCCAATACGTGCACACAGAGATGCCAATGAAAGTGCACGCACTCTCGCGGTGACTCGGTCACCGTGAATGCGCCAGATCTCGTCGAACCTCGCAAGCTAAGCAGGAAGTTTGGAAGCCTGCTTAGCGCTTAGATGGGTGTCTACTAGGGGTTGCCAGGTGTTGTAGGTGTGCCGCCTAGGCAAAGTGTGGACAGGAGATGGTAGTGGTGAGTGTCATCATCAGCAGCAGCAGCTGTTGTCTGTCCACTGCTGGATGGAGGCATCACCAAGCCGTTGACATCACTCACGGTCCAGCAATCGTCTCACCGCTGCACGCGAGCTGAGCTCACGGAGCGCCACTTTCTCGTGTGACGCCACGTGGATGTTTTTTTTATTCTCCTCCGGGTTCTTCGTTTTTCTAATCACACGAAGCCAAACACTCATTGATACGATCGGTCCCAACATCCCGATATAATCAGGACCCCTCCTGACAAAGAGGTGTGAGACTCAGTGAGGCTTTCCTGGAAAATGTATCGGCCGAAGACGTGAGGATTGACCAATCACACCAGGTATTTTATCTTGCGTGCAAGTCGACCTCGAAAGAGCGCGTCGAGCCTCGGCGTCTTCAATAAACAGATTGAGCCATCGATGCTGGCGAGCTGTAGAGTGTGCAGGCGGTTCAACTGCACCGGGACCCACAGGCAGGTCGAATGGGCCGAGGGCATCGGTCTACGCAGGAGGGGGACAGGGTAGGGATGGAATCTTGACACGGTGCCCAATTTCAATCCTTGCCCCAGGGCCCATACCAACCATGCTCCGCCATTAACTTCAGGTAGGGTGTGCACGGTATAAGGGGGACGCACGTGGCACATGGAGTCAATTGCCATCATCGGTGACGATTGTGACCTGACAGGCACCTGAGATCCAGAACAAGTTAATTTGCTTGCGCGTGACCAGGTGTTCCCATACCTGGGCCGCTGGGATCGCTAACCGCTCGCCCACTAACAAGCACACACAAACAAACACACAAAGGCACCCCGCGTGCGAGGCCATACAGACGATGTTGGTCGAAGTGTTGTTAGCGAGGGCCTATTAAGGCCGGTATGGTACGCGAGGAGGTGATGTGACCACTAACAACACCAACCCAGGACTCCTTCGTCTCCCACCGTGGCTGATGTGCACGCACGACACACACGCGCATGCACTGCACCCACACCTGTCCATCCCTGCGCATGGCATAGAACAACACTTTTACGCTCTACCAAGTTCCATTTGCCAAGCGCTTGCTAATGGCAATCGAGCAATTAGGCTAAAAGCAGTGGACACCACTCGCGTTTGGCTTCGAGTTGAGAATGTTCCGTGGCACGCGGCGAGCGCGTGCAGCTAGCGGCTGATCCGTGATCGTAATTCTGACAACGACTGCAAAAAACGATATATTTTTTGAGCGAAAAAAAAGTTGGGTGGAAGCTCCGAACGGGGTATATAAGCAGGCGCGAAGATCTCCATCAGCCGCACAACTTCGTCAGTCGACCAGGACAGAAGTTTCACCTCCCAACAGCTTTCGTCAGCACCCGCCGGCCTCTCCGACTCTACGCAGGTAAGGTGACAGATAACCCCAATGCGTGATCTCTCGGCCACACTCGCTCTGGTGCACGCCTTCCCTGGGTCGTGTGCCCGATGGCAGTGTCTTTGTCTCAAACGACCCTCAAAGCCTGTCCGATCTTGAGCTCTCTTCTTCGTTTCCCTCTCGTTGCAACGTTCTTCAAGTCACTGAGCAGCATTTGCCGAATCCGTATCGTTTTCACTTTCTTGCATTGTTCCTAAGTGGGGTTTATCTCCTCCTCGTCTGCTCTAGAACTGTCTCATTACTCGTTCTCTCCAATTTCATATCTCCATCAGACGCCACAATCCATAACTGTGACACAGGTCTTCGTATGTCTCCCTTTCTGGGAGTCCAACCTTCTGCACTTTACACTCGGCTCTTCTTAAGCCATCTGTTGAAACTCTGCCACAGTGGCGAGGGGCACCACGGTGTCTAAGAGATGTTAACTACCTCGCCTGGTATACAGGAGGTCGTGGGTTGGATTCCGAGCCTGCTGTATATTTGGAGTTTGCACGTTCTCCCCGTGACCACACGGATTTTTCTATGGGTCCTCCGGTTAATTCCTCCATATTTATGTGGCTGCCATACGTAAATTTCCACGCGATAATCCACTTCGTTCGAGCTATCAATTGTGGTCAGGTCGCTTCTGAAAAAAAGAGCTATGAAGCTCAGTGGATCTTACCTGGTAAAATAAAATAAAAATACTTTATAGTTTCATTCGTCTTTGTCAGCAGCAGCAGCATCCTTCTCTTCTGAAATGCCGCTTTTGCTTCCCCCATGGCGATCCTGGCTCCAATCTCCGTCGAGCTGCCGCAATCTGTTTCTTCAATCCACTGCTAGATGAGGGCCCTTGCCCCCCCCCACCCCCCCCCCCCCCCCCCCCCCCCCCCCCCCCCCCCCCCCCCCCAGCCCGCGTATCGACACCGTTTGACCAAAACGTCACTTTTTGCTTGTCGGGCCAGGCAAGTGGAGAGCCCAGGACCGGTTGGGAGACGCCGTTCGCCGCACTGGCGTCGATTTTTTCCGACCGCGTCAAACGTTCGCCGGGCTCGTCGTGCCCGGAACGTTCGCCGAACCCTCGCTTGGGGAAACGCGGTGCCGATGCGAAGAGACCTGCAATTGTGACGTCATATATATACTTCTTATTACGACGGGGGCAGTTCCCGATTAAGCTAGTGCGGTGCCTGTAGCATATGTTATAAAGTGGCCCTAAATAAAAATAAAAATAAAACATAAATACTAAAACACCGATTTTTTTTTTCACTTGCATAGTAAAGTAATTGTATTTTTTCATTTGCTATACAGGCAGATAATACGACAAATCGCTAAACTTATACACCCAGTCGTTCATACAAGTTTAAGGCGGTATAATACTATAGTAATAGAGCAAGTGCAGAATCACTGATCCGGAATATGATAGCTTGAAAGCATTTATCGCGGGGTTCTTGAGAGTGCGGGGCCCGTAGCTACTACATATGTAGCTACTATATATGTAGCTACACGTGTAGTAGCTACATATGTAGTAGCTACATATGTAGCAGCTACATTTGTGGCTGATGTCTGAAGGGGTCTTGGGCAACCATTTTTGTTTCAACCAACACGCACTGACCAACGCCCCTCTCGCCCCCCACGACCAACTCGGCGTGGGGGAAGTCTTCATGCAGCAGTGGGAATGATCAAAAGGAAAGGCTGACGTACGAATGGCTCTGCATCTTACCCCTCGGTGGAAACCCGCTCAACGCGACAGCGTGACAAACGACGTCGTGATGCTTTTATCGATTTATTCGTTTTGCGATGTTGCCCTGCTCGGCTCTGTTCCGACGATGCCCTTGGCGAAAGTAAAACTGTCTCGCGTTAAGGAACGTCCCGCAGAAACAGCTATCAACGGAGCTACCTACGAGATCTCCTTCGCAAGTGTGCCGCTGTTTCGCACAGGAGGCGATACCGCGATCCAAAGGAGGCGAAGAACCGAAACGCAACGTGACGGGGAGACGTTGGGTGACGTTCGGACTCGGAACCATCGACCCACTTGCACTTTGCGCGCTCGTGGTGACCCGAGCTTGTTGGTTTCCCGTTCAGGAATCAACTTACGCTGGACAAACCCCGGGTTATATCACGGGGGCGGCTGAATCCCGCGTTCGGAATCAGAATCTGTATTTACACTGGAGGAATCCGATGAGCGATAGAGGTCTTTTCCACACAATGCCCAATGCATCTCTGCGTTGCCGGCTGCGAGCCACCCGCATGGGCTACCTCTCTAACGCCGCAATATTCCCCCACGCCTGTCCTGTTGCAGCCTCTCCACCACCACCCACCACCCACGATGTCACCACGTTCTCCGAGGGCGCCGTCTGCCATGCTCACCCTGCTGCTGCTGCTGCCCGCGCTGCTGCTGCTGCTGCTGTCGCTGATGAGTCCGGTACCCGCCCACGCGTCGGCGCTGACGGGCGCCGGCGGCACGCACCTGTGCGGCTCGCACCTGGTGGAGGCGCTCTACGTGGTGTGCGGCGACCGCGGCTTCTTCTACACGCCCAGCAAGACGCGCAGGGAGCTGTCTGACGGTGAGCGCCCTGCCCCCCCCCCCAAGTGCCTCTGCGCCGATTGTGTGTGTCTGTGTGCGTGTCTACCTGTGTGTGTCTACCTGTGTACCTGTGTGTGTGTCTCCCTGTGCGTCTTGTGTACCTGTGTGTGTGTGTGCGTATGTCTCCCTGTGCGTCTGTGTGTGTGTGTGTGCGTGTGTTTCCCTGTGTGTGTGTGTGTACGTGCGCATGTCTCTGTGTGCGCGTTTACCTGTGTGTGTCTACCTGTGTGCCTGTGTGTGTGTGTCTCCCTGTGCGTCTTGTGTACCTGTGTGTGTGTGTATGCGTGTGTCTCCCTGTGCGTCTTGTGTACCTGTGTGTGTGTGTCTCCCTGTGCGTCTTGTGTACCTGTGTGTGTGTGTGTGCGTGTGTCTCCCTATGCGTCTGTGTTTGTGTGTGTGTGCGTGTGTCTCCCTGTGCGTCTGTGTGTGCGTGCGCATGTCTCTGTGTGCGCGTTTACCTGTGTAGGTTTGTCACGTAAACAGAAGATGCCAATTCGTTACTAGTACAGCACTAACCGGTTGTGTGTTGGAGAGCAAAGCCACAACATTTACAATCTGACCTTGACCTAAAGCTTTCGTGACTGCAGGAATTCATATCCTTTGGGTCTTTCGGTAAAGCCACGTAGATAGGTTCAAAATCAATAAATAAGTAAACAAAAGCAACGGTCATCAAGTGTAAAACCGAAGACGGTTGCTTGTGTTGCGATCGAAACGTCGGGGTTTTTGTTTTTTGTTTTTTTATAAATTTTGAACCTTTAACGAAAGATCCAAAGAATATTTACAATCTGAGTTCGACGTTTCGCCAGTAATTACAACGAGCCTCATCAGGCAACAGCTGTTGTGGCTTTGCTCTACAACACACAACCGGTGTTGCTGTACTGGTAGCGAATCGGCACGTTCTGTTCACATTACAAAACCTTACAAATTGGCCGTGTCCGGTGGTGGCGGGTTTAACGACACGTTTATACATTTACGCGATCTAACCCCCAAACAACAAAAAAAATCCCCCTCTATTATGGATGATACTTGGGTTGCGAAAGCCTTACCACGTGTTAAACCGACCAATCGACTTGTTGCCTTTATAGTCTTTAAACCTTACAGCCAGTGCTGAATGAAGCGAGTGCGGGGCCTGTAACATACGTTATAAAGGGTCCCTAAATAAATAAAATACATAAATACTAAAACACAGATTTGTTTTAACTTGCATAGTAAAGTAATTGTATTTTTTCATTTGCTATACAGCCAGATAAATACGACAAATCGTTAATAAAAGTTGAAGGCTGTATAGTACTATAGTAATAGAGCAAGTGCAGAATCACCGAACCGGAATTGATAGCTTGAAAGCGTTTAGCGCGGGGCCCTTGAAAGTGCAGGGCCCGTAGCTACTACGTTGGTAATTTTGATAGCAGGATAATCAGGTAATGCGTGCTGACCCCCCACCCACCCACCCACCTCGTTCGCTCGCAGTCATCCGGACCGAGGCCGACGCCGGCGAGCAGCAGGGGGGGGTGGTGGCGGAGGGCGAGGGCGAGCTGTGGGGAGGCGCCGCTGCTCCGGGCGCCCGAGAAGAGAGCCCGAGGACTCGGCGCGGTATCGTGGAGCAATGCTGCCACCGCAAGTGCTCCATCTACGACATGGAGAACTACTGCAACTGACCGAAAACGCCGAACGCCCGGCCACAAACCCACACCCTGGCCCTAACCTCCCCCCCCTAACTTCTTAGTACCTAACACCCCCCCCACATTACTACCACAAAAGCTGTGATCACCCAATAAAAGAAGATGGTTAATTCATTTCGCTCGGCTTGTTGTTACGTGTGTGTGTGTATGTGTGGGGAGCGGTAGTGTCGTGGTTAGTGCGCTGCGCTATGAACCCGGCGACCCGGGTTCGATTCCCGTTCACGGCCAACACCCAGTGAAGATTATCTGAACCGGTCCTGGGCCTCCCCTAGGTCGACTAAGCCTCAAATTAATACCTGGTGCGATGTGTAAATATCGCAACAGGAGAGACAAAGGCGGTCGGGCGTGGTGCTGGCCACCCACCCCCTCGTGTACCGTTCCGGCCTTCATAGGTGCTCGCTAACAGCACTTTCCCCAACACTCTGTTAAGTCTATACGGGGGATATTTGTCTTTGCGCGGATTTACAATTTTTGTTTACGTTTGCTGAGTACAGTTCTAAAGGCCCAAATCGCGAATTGAAGTTTGGGAATAGATGACAATGTATACGTTTTTTTTTAATTGGGGAAGATTGTGAGATCTTGGTGGGGTCGGGGAGACGATGGCGGTTTAATTGCAGAGTGGAACGGTTCGAGGAATGAAGCAGAAAGAGAAGCGAGGTGACCGGGTGGGTGTGAGAGTGGCTGAATGCGTGAGAGAGTGGGTAAGTGAATGGCTGATTGAGTGAATGGCTGATTGGGTTGGTGGATGAATGAGCGGACGGGTGACTGAGTGGGTGTGTGTGAGCGTTTTTGTGATGTGCAGTATGGTGGTTGAACAGTCAGTCTGTGAGATCGAGTTCTCAACCTGGGAGGAGGAATAATTTGAGTAAAGTGTTCACGGGAACAGCAAACTATGGTAGTAGCCATAGGAGAGTGACAGTGTGTGCGCTTTATCACGAATCAACCTCTGGTTGCCTTACAGGTTGCATGAATTAGTGTAAAAAATGCCGAATTTCTGGGAGGCTCAACTCGGTCACACGTGTCAGCTTGAAGCAGCTCCCATTTAAGAGTTCAGCCCGATTGAACGAATTATCAGCAATTCCTTCAACCATGTTTCTCAGTCATATATATTGCATTTAAAAAAATCTCCTTGGCTATTCCATGAGCAGCTCTTCCTTCCTTACGTAGATAAATACAATTGCAATATGGCAATCCACTGCTGGACGAGCGCCACCCGATGAAAGGGGATCGTGAGGTTAGCTGACCCTACCTCACCACGCTCATCGGTCCGGTTGCTCAAGGTAGAGAGAGGGCTCAGGATTCAGGAGACTCAAGATTCCACTCACGGCTGATGGAAAACCTCACTGAGTTCCAATATTTATTTCCTTCTTTTTCAAGAGGGTCTTGCATTGGAACGTTGGACCATATAGTCGCGTGATCAAAAGGTTTCATCAGATGGCGCATGGACGGATGAGGGCCGACTGTGTGGCGGCCAAAAGGTGAATGAAACGCCATAGAGGACTTCCACCTTTGAGATGGAGCGATGAAATCAACTCGTACGCGGTAGCTAGGAGTGATCGTCGCCTCGCGTGACAGTGTGGGGACGGCTCGGGGAGGGATTCATCCAGCGGTAGACAAATCATGGCTGACGATGATGATGATCCCATTCACAGTTTTGCTTAACAACAACAAAAATCACTCCTGAAGTCCGCGTGGCTGAATGAGATGAGTTAACAACAACAAAATAATACCTCTTCCCTTTGTTACGTCGAGGCACAGAGAGTGGAATTGAGGCCGCCTGCTCATTTATTTACATTACTTGGGGTGGCAGGGTGGGGGGGGGCCTTCATCGAGCAGTGGATAGATCATGGCTGCCGATGATGACGACGTAAACACCACGCGGTGACAGCCGCAGCCCCTGCACGTCGACTGCGCGCCGCGCCACGCCCTCCACCACCCAGCATAGCGATCACTATCCAGGGGCTCGACCAATCAGATGACGTGCAGACCCCCACCCCCACCACCCCCAATCCCTTTAATTACACACGGATGACCCGGCATCTCACCTGTGCTCAGACGTCAGGTGTGCGCGTGCTGTTGACTCGTCAGTACCAGGGGTTGTAGGTAGCCTGCAAGGGCTAGCGGGCTGTGTATAAGAAGTTCGAGGTTGTATGTAGAGTATAGGACTAGCGTGTGTGTAATAAGACTCTAGTACAGGTGTGTGTGTGTGTGTTCAAGACTCGAGGAGGGTTTGCACAGAACAAGGTGTGTACAGAACTAGAGTGTGTGTGTGTGTGTGTAGGGCTATTGGTGTGTATGAGTACGCGTCTTCCAAGTCTGTAAACGGTTGATATCGCAGTACCTACACACACACGCGCGCGCGATCTTATCTACAGCAGACGCGTGTAGACTGGAGGTGAGGACACCAGGTGTGCGTTGAGGACTCCAGGTGTGCGTTGAGGACTCCAGGTGTACGTTGACGACTCCAGGTGTGCGTTGACGACTCCAGGTGTGCGTTGAGGACTCCAGGTGTGCGTTGATGACTCCAGGTGTGCGTTGAGGACTCCAGGTGTGCGTTGAGGACTCCAGGTGTGCGTTGAAGACTCCAGGTGTGCGTTGAGGACTCCAGGTGTGCGTTGAGGACTCCAGGTGTGCGCCTGTAAATCGACGACTGAAGCTTGCTACGGACATGGCCCTGAGTGACGCGGACGTGCAGAAGCAGGTAAGCGCGGAACGTCGCGACAAACCCGAACACACACTCACAAGAACAGCGGCTCAGGTGTTCATAGTTCTATTGCCGTTACCTGCATCGTCATCTTTCTCATCATTGGCAGCCGTATCCCGCTAACCGGCAATGTAACGAATAACCTCCACACTCGATGACTTCATGTCATCACCTTTCTCCCCGGTGGACGTAAAGTCCTCCCGGGCGCGTTCCATCCTTTGGCTGATGGCTAGTCCGTCCTTATCCTTGGCCGTCGGACATTATGTATGTGTGGGCACGTATGCACGTTGAACTTTTTTCGCACCGCACGTAGCCAACCGTCGGAGGTGCGTGAGGAAGGGCAACGAACTAAACACAGACAAATCAGCTCTAAGGAAATGCGGTTTCACTCGAGGTGGTTTAAAGTCCCATGGCCCCGCGGTGGCTTCCTAAAATCGGAAGGAAGAACGTTCCAGACGGCCGCCGAAGCGCGTCTGAAAGCGCCGAGCGATGCCGGTGACCGCCGCCTTATGTTCGATGGCTCAGCAGTCAAAAGCAGCCGCTGCGAGGGTGATTGCCGGAATTCTCGTGATGGTTTATGCTCCTTGACGAGATCAGCGAGGTGATTGATTGTGGTTCATTCGTGGCGAGAACTTCGTTGTGCAATGCGCCGTGACGTGACCTGCCCAAGCCCACTAACTTTTCTTAACAGTCTGGATGATGTCCCCAAACCTTGCGCAACGTCTTCTAATCCACGGGTCGATGTCAGCAAGCCACTGGGAGCTGTGCACTTTAAAATCTAAATTGAAAACGAATTTCTCTTCGAACTGCTTGTTTTGCTGTCCTTCCCGCGCACCTCCGATTGGCACGGTTGCTTACGTACGGCGCGAACGAAGTTCAACATCCATTGACCTCCCCACGCGTCATCCTTTGCCTGCGCTCCCCACCCTCACCGACCCCGCAGCGACCGAGCGTATGGCCCAAATCAGCCCAAGCGTGGCCAGGAGGCCCTCGTCCAGCAGTGGAGTGGCAACAAAAAAACGGGTCCGGCGCATGTGCAACGCGTTGTGACTTCTAGATTTGAAGCTTTCGTGACTGCAAGGATCCATACTCTTTGGTTCGTGACTTTACCGAATACCGAATAGAACCAAAGAGCTTGGTGACTTCTCTATCGCGTAGCCGTGGGGGGTGGGTGGGGGGGGGGGGCGCTGTTGTCGTTATCGCTGACTGGCCCCAGCCGGTGCCAGCAGACGGCAGCCAGCGAAGCCAGCGAGGAGGAGAGGAGGCGCGCCAACTCCGCGCGGTGTTTACACAACACGCGGCATTGCGCCAGCAGCCAGCCCAGCAACGTTACGACGGTCATCATCGGGTGAATTACGTTGAAGGTTTCAGGCCTTTGAAGATCGCTTGCCACGCCGAGACTGCTGGCGGAAGGGCCCCCTGCACCTGATGGAGCCGTTAGGGGGCCAATGTTGAGGATCTTGTCGGCCTGTGCTGCTTTCACGCTGGCCCAGACGTCTTGGAAGAGGGGTTGGAGTTATCCCACGCCTTTACCCCACCAGCGCACGTGACCTAGCGATAAGCAAACTGCGGTGCACTGCCCATTAATACTGCTGGGTGGACAAGAGGCGTTTTGAGTGATTGCAAATAAACTGCCCCATTACTTCGGACGCCTGCGTGCCGGGAGATCGAACCGGCGACCTGCGTGCAATTCGTGAAACGTCGCGTGTTTAGGAGTCATCAGCCACGAGCTGTCATGGGCGTTGGTAAGGGACGTTTAGGATTCAGTGGCGATGTCAATGACTCAAAGCCAAAGTTGATGCCACCAAACCGAGAGTCTTCTGGGCTAGTGTCAGGTTCGTGCGAGACGGCTGCCAATGATGAGGATGATGACGATGATGCATGTAACGGGAGTCGAACTATGAGCTCTGCACCACCCGGCCCCACGTGAGCCGCTGTTGTTTTTTTTTTTGTCCTCTACTGCAAGGCCCCGCGGGTGCCACTGGCGGCCCCCGGTGGCCTTTAGTGCGGCCCCTGACGCGTTGGAGGAGGCCATCGGACCGCTCTCTCCAGGCCATTTTTAAAAAAAAATTGAAATTCAACAAGAGCCCGGTGCAGCGCGTAACCCGTAGCAAAGGGAGGGAGGGAGGCACAGAATCTCCGCCTGACAAGAATCCTCGCTAGCTCAGGGCTCCTGGGCTTGGGGGGGGGGGGTACACAAAATATACATGCTTCCGCTCACTGCCCTCCCACCTTTGTGGGAGGGCAGTGAGCGGAAGCATGCATATTTTTTTATATGGGGAAGGAAAGATAAAAAGAGGAAGGAGGACAAAAGTCAGGGGGATAGAAGGGACGGGGATGGTGGGAGTGGGGGGGGGGGCTCTCCAGGCCATTTAACAAATGTTCACTAACAGAGTTGGTTTTGTTTGAGAGGACGTTACATGGCAGGCCCTCAGGTGGTTTGCGTGGAGTGGCGAGGACCCAATGATAGGAGGTCATGGCGTAATGATAGTTCAGGGGACGTTGCTGTAGAGTGGTGAAGGCCCAGTGAAAGGTCATGTGGCAGTGCTTTGGAGTGGTGAAGGCCCACAGGTCACGGGGCAGCTGTTTCGAGTAGAGGTGATTGCTTTCTTCTCTGAGGAGGAGGAGGATGCGAGACGGATCCAGGTGTTTCGAGCAGAAAGATCGAAGGCTCGACGTGAGGTCATGCATGGGACTGGAGTGACGAAGGCCCTCAATGACGGGAGGTCAACGGTAGAACGTCGTCTCGGCGAAGACGGAGACGTCACGGGAACCGGGATTGGGCTGATCCATTCGGCGTCCGTCAGATTGTCCCCGCAAAAGCCGTCGAGTGTTTTGGCGTTCGCTGTTGACACGACAACTACCGCGGCGATAGAATCACCCGGCCACTCTCAGGGCTCAACAGCCCCCACCCTTCTCCATCCCATGCCCCCCCCACCCGCTCTATCTACACCATCGCTTGTAACGTTACACGTCGCTTTACGATGCATGCATGCACGTACACGTGTATGTTGAACGTCTTTCGCACCGCACATCGCCAACAGTGCTAATCGGAGGTGCGGGGGAAGGACAACGAACGAAACGCAAAAAAATCAGACTGAATGCTTTCGTGGCTGCAGGAATTCATATTCTTTGGGTCTTTCGGTAAAGTCAGGTGGATAGGTTCAAAGAAAATGGCAAAAACTACGACGTTCTCATCGCAACACAAGCGGTCGTCATCAGGGGTGGGGGGGGGGGGGCATAGCTCCGGTGGCTTTCTTAAAATCGGAAGGAAGAGCGTTCCAGACGGCCGCAGGAGCCACATCTGAAAGCGCGGCGCGATGGTTAAAGCCAAAAGCCGCTGCCGTTGCGAGGAGGACCGCAGCTCGCGTGGTGGAGCATGCCCCTGGACACACGTGATGACACGTGGACTTGTGCAGCTCTTTTGGACGATGCACTGCAGGGTGACAGAGCCTCCCCACACTGAGCAGATTGTGGGAGTTGTTTGACCATACTTCACCCACATTGATCAGTTCAGGCTCGTGAAGGGCTCCTCCCGCCAGGACCAGCCGAGACATCTCTCATCACCGATGTCAGATTCATGGCCGGGCTATCTGATTATTACCCGACCGTTTATCCGTTCCATCAACTAATCGGATAATACGAAGATAACGGATCATGATCAAACTATCACCTCTCTTCCCGCGTGTACCCCTGGACGAGAGGCGATGGGTGGGGTTTTAGTGACGCCATCAGCACCAGCGGCCACAGCACGCTAGGGGTGGCTTTATAGGGGGGGGGGGGGGGTTCCTACCTTCCAGGGATCCCAAAAATATTATTATAAAAAAAAGTATTCGATTACAAATGTAAGCCGATTCATTGACTAATCCGTCCCAGCACCAGTTACGCGTGGCCGGGGTTTGAAGCAGGGCATCGGGTTCAGAGCGTAGTGACGCCACTACTCCACCGCGGATGCTACGAGCGGAGTGCGATCGTCACTGTTGTGTTTTACGCTCTGCTCGCAGATAAAGCAGATGATGGCATTCATCGAACAAGAGGCGAACGAGAAGGCCGAGGAAGTCGAGGCTAAGGTGAGGGGTACAGCATTGACAACTGTCCCAGCACAACCATTTACTCATCATCAGCCATGATTAATCCACTGCTGGATGACGGCTTCCCCAAGCCACTGCCACCTCTCACGATTCGGCGACGCAACAATCGATCCAGCACCCGCACACGAACCAGTCTCATCGCTCCATCTCGTGGTAGACCAAGGCGTGCTCTGGGAGTGGTGGACTTGTTCTCTCTTGCTATGAGGTGGCGAGATGTTAACTACATCGCCTGGTATACAGGAGGTTGTGGGTTCGTGGGCTCAATCCCGACCCTGACGCCTGTATATTTGGAGTTTGCCTGTCTCTCTCCCCGTGGTTGTTTTTTTTATTTTTTCCTCCGGGTCCTCCGGTTTTCCCTTCCACATTTAGAAACATACGTTTGGAGTATTTGGCTGCTCTAAATTTTCCACGCGATAAGCTACTTTCATTGAGCTATCATTTGTGGCCAAGTCGCTTATCCAAAAAGAGCTATGTAGCTCAGTGGGCCTTACCTGGTAAAATAACAAGAAATGTCTTTAATAGTTTAGACTGCGTGGGCTGAGGTGTGCATAACGCGATCCGGTGAATAGCGATAGAGCTATGCCAAGTCAGCCCCAACCACCACCCACCCACCGCCGATGATATAACAGCGGTCTCTGAAGCATACCATTTCTTTATTACTTGTTGTTTACCCAGCAACTATTGCACATTCCAACTACCACCAATCACTTTTCTAATATCCACAAACAGCCACCCGCCTTTGGGACGTTTGCAAACTTCAAAGGTCATTCCTGCAGGGCCAATCAAATAAGAGACTGGCCCTTGTCATGGGAACGTGGAATTACCAATGAGGGCAATGTACCCAACGCGTATTTCAGCATGGAGATGGACTCTTGCCACACCGCCTAAAGGAGTTGTATAGCTCTTTTTCAGAAGCGACCTGGCCACAAATTATTGCTCAACGAAAAGTGGCTTTTCGCGTGGTAAATTGATAGCAGCCAAACGCTCTAAACGCGTGATGTGGATGCTAAATGTGGAGCGGGGACAAACCAACAGGTCTTGTGCTCGCAAACTAATCAAGACCCATTTGAACTGCCGCGCTGGGAAATCGAATTGGCCACGTCCGTATTGCACGACCACCACCCCACTGTGGGAGCATCCTCGAAGGAATGAGTGTAATATTACTCGTGCAAATGAATGAATGTAATATTACTCATGCAAATGAATGAGTGTAATATTACTTGTGCAAATGAATGAATGTAATATTACTCGTGCAAATGAATGAGTGTAATATTACTCGTGCAATAGAATGAATGTAATATTACTCGTGCAAATGAATGAGTGTAATATTACTCGTGCAAACGAATGAATGTAATATTACTCGTGCAAATGAATGAGTGTAATATTACTCGTGCAATAGAATGAATGTAATATTACTCGTGCAAATGAATGAGTGCAATATTATTCGTGCAAATGCAGGCAGAAGAGGAATTTAATATCGAGAAGGGAAGACTCCTTCAGACGCAGCGCCTCAAGATCATAGACCACTTTGAGAAGAAGGAAAAGCAGATCGATATGCAGAAGAAGATGTAAGTGGCTTTACCCATGTCTGTCTGATGTCTCTCTCTCCGTTTGTCTGTGTGCAAGCTTCTCCTTGTGCCGAGGTTGAATGAACATTGACAAACGGAGTCCGATTGAAGCCAGAGCAACAGTCTGGAAGTTTGTAGGACAATGGCATTTGTTGGTGAGCCCTTAGAACGTCGAGAAATATCAATGCTCACCAGGATGCACGGGGTCAGCCAACTTACAAATAGTAATCGGTTTTTACCCTTTTATCTGGCACCAAAACTGACACCTTTATACAAGAGATCATGTTTGTAATAACCACAACACAAGCAGTCAAAATGCAAACAAAAAAAAGACAACTCTGATAATGATATGCACTGTCCTTGAGGACTGTCCTTGAGGACAGTGCATATCATTATTCTTGAGGACAGTGCATATCATTATCAGAGTTGTCTCTTTTTTGTTTGCATTTTGACTGCTTGTGTTGTGGTTATTGCAAACATGATCCCTTGTATAAAGGTGTCAGTTTCTTTAGAAACTGCTTTTTTGTATTTAATTTGTTGTCCTTCCCCCGCACCTCCGATTAGCACGGTTGGCTACGTACGGTGCAAAAAAAGTTAAACATACGTACATACGGTAATACAAATGTGAAGATTCTATTCTTGGAGTAGACGGTTGAGCGAAGTGCTATGGACGAGTGCGGACTACAATTGCAACGGAACGACCAGCAGGTTTAACAGATAATGATTCTTAACACCCATCCATACCTCACCGGTGTGCGACGGCGATGTTTATTTTTTTAATGGGAATGCGGCAACATTCGATTCCCAAACGCCACCACCGCGGCACTGGTGCCGAACGAGGCTGAAAGGACATTGGCACATGCGGTGGGGGGCTGTGAATATGTCTTGGTGCTTTGTAACTTGGCTCTTCCGTGTATTTTTTTGCGTGTGCACGACAACGTGTTTCGCATTTGTTGTTTCCGTGTGCGCGCGCGCGCTCGCGGGGAGACATTACCCGTGCGCGCGTTTCCACACCTAGCCCAAGCTGTCCCTGGTGCCATTCTTGGTGGCCGACGCCTGGAGCAGGCTATTTTCCGAGCCGAGTTCACGGACCCTCGCTGCAGATCACGGACAACTTAAAGAACGAACTTTGTGTGAAACGACGGCGCCTCATGCCGCCGGTTCTCTCGCACAATTTCAGCCGGGGCTCTTTGATGCCACGTTGTTAAATAATTACAGCAGCTGTTTGCGGTTACAATAACCGTTTTGGGGTGTGTATAACCCACGACGTGCCGCATGAACGATTAACATGATGATGATAATCGATGTGGTCATTGTGATGACCGTTGTGGCTTGTGTATGCGTGCCACGTGTCCACTCGCAGTCAGGTGTCAAACCTGATGAACCATGCCAGGCTGAAGGTGCTCAAGGCTCGTGAAGATCTCATACAGGTGAACTCATCTGGTGACCTCAAGCCACCCACCGTACCCACACCTAAACCTGCCAGCGGTGGCCTCATCACACACACACAGAACACCGATGTAGCAGGACCCTCCTGACAACGATTCTTGAGACTGAGTGAGGCTTTCCTGGCTCAATAATTGTTCAGAGAAAACGGGTTAAGGTGCAGCCCTGCAACTGCTTGCTCACGCCACTGAGGGGCCTCCACTAGACGGAGCTCTAAGGAGCCCTTGTAAGATGGCATTTGGCCTACTCTTCCACGCTGGCCAAACATCTTGAAAGAGACGAGAGTACCCACACTTTACCCCTCCACACACGCGACCTACCGATCGAGTGTGGTGCGCCCATTTATACTGCTGGGTGGACAGAGGCAAGGGGATTTAAGAAACCTGCGCGCTTTTTTTTGTTATATTGAACTGCGGCGCAGGAAGATCAAAGCGAACCGTCGCCCTCTGGATTGTAAGCTCAGTGTGCTAACGAAACTAAAGCGAAACGATTTCAATTTACCAGATAAAGCTCACGGAGCTATATAGCTCTTTTTTTCAGAAGCGAGAATCGGCTATCACTAATGACAGCTCAACGAAGTGGCTTATTAGAGCAGCGAATGGAGGCAAAAACCGGAAGACCCGGAGAAAAATCCACACAACCATCGCTATACCGCAGCAGCAGCAATACTTGCTATCATGATATTATTAGTCTGCCTTTCATTGCCACTATCCTGTCACATCTCAGTAAAACATGTAACGTTGGGTCAATGTTGGCATGTGGTTGGCCGGACGTTCTACGTTGACCGGGATGCGCCTGACTCGTGCGACGCCCCGTGTGTCCTCACGCAGGACCTGCTCGCGGATGCGAAGAAGCGACTTGTGACGGATGCCCGGGATCCGGCCCGGTACCGGTCGCTCATCGAGGGCCTTCTCATGCAGGTGCTCGTCCAGGCTGGGAGTTCCGTAAAAGGAAAAAACGAGATTTTCTCGCCTCTGGATGTGGCGTCTGGCGCGCGTTTCTCAGAAGCGGCTCCGTGAAACGAACGTCTCTCGTGCTGCCGTGCTCAAGACAACACGGGGTCGCATTTTGCTCTCCAAAGATTTCCGAATGGATTCTTCTCCGAGCGACGTGACGTCAATAGCACAACATGTGATGCAATTGGGAAAACGACGTTTTAATTTTTTTAAAAAATCTGAAATAAGTATGCAAAATGATGGTTACTCATTGGTTCTTTCGGTAAAGTCACGTAGGTAGAAAAATAAAACGATATAATGTATTCTTGGTTCTTTCGGTAAAGTCACGTAGAAGGGGAAACAATAAAATAATAAAAATTTTAAACAATAAATTCTCACGACGTTTCGACTGCAATACAAGAAATCATCATCAGGTGTGAAAACCACAGCAAGAACATTTTCTTGCTGTGGTTTTGCCACTATCCTGTCACATCTCAGTAAAACATGTAACGTTGGGCCAATGTTGGCATGTGGTTGGCCGGACGTTCTATGTTGACCAGGATGCGCCACAGCAAGAACATTTTCTTCCTGTGGATTTCACACCTGATGATGATTGCTTGTGTTGCAGTCGAAACGTCGTGAGAATTTTATTGTTTTATATTTTTTATTATTTTATTGTTTCCCTTCTACGTGGTGACTTTTCCGAAAGAACCAAGAATATGAATCCCTGCAGTCACGAAAGTTTTAAATAAAAAAATATATAATATATCACGACGTTTCGATCGCAGCGGAACAGCTGGCTCAGCAGTTCCACTGCTGGATTATTTTTTTCCGCCTGAGGACGACCGCTTGTGTTGCGATCGAAACGTCGTGATTTTTTTTGTTTGTTTTTGTTTTATTTTTCTACCTACGTGACTTTACCGAAAGAACCAGAGTATGGATTCCTGCAGTCACGAAAGCTTCAAATCAAGATAGTACTAATTATTTTTTGCTTTAATCAACCTTGTACATCCCTTCGCGTCTGTCTCCCTTCGTTAAAATGATGGTTCCCTGGCTCGAGCTTAGGGCAGGGGTGGTGGAACCGCGGTTTCACGAAACGCGTGCGGCTCCCGGCCGGTCCACGTGTGGCCTCGAGTTCGACGCGACTAATTTGTGACTTTTCACGACAACTTTATTTGAAACGGGAACAAACAAACTAAAAAAAAATCTGTGGAAACGCGAGCGACCTGGGGCGGCACTCGCTTGTGTCAGGCCCGACACGAGTACTCCTCGGGGTGCTCCCGCAGATTTCTAAATTCACAAACTCCACAGCCAAATTAGAATCACAATAAGCAAAGCCCATTGAGCTAAATAAGCTCTTTTTGTTCAAGGGCGAGCACAAGGGCTGCGTGACCACCCCGTGTAACCTGCTCAGCACCTCGTGGCTCTCGGCCGTATACCAAAGGTTGTGGCGTGAGGCTCGCAGGGTCAAGATGTTTTGGTCTCGGCCACACCTTTGCTCCTCGTGTCGTTGACCACACGTGCGTATTACATGACCCCTCACCACTTCCCTCCCTCGGTCACCCCAGGGATTGTTCCAGCTGCTGGAGCCACAGGTGGTGATTCGGTGCCGGCAGCAGGACGTGACCCTGGTGAAGGTGGGCGTCTTGCGCAGACACGCGCGTGTGTGCGTGTGTTAACTTATCCTCGCCTGCTCACCGGCATCACAATAACACAAAGATCCCCCGTGTAGCCCTTTTAACAGGTTGTTGGGGCAAGTGCCGTTAGCGAGCACCGATGAAGGCTGGCACGGCGCACGAGCCGGTGGTGCGATGTCTAAACTTTTCCATGGGACCTCCTCGAGATTGACCCAGCCTTAAACGGGTATCTGGGGCGAAGCGTCAAAAATCAGCACTTGGGAGAAAAAAGGCGATAAAGGAGCGTGGTTCTGGCCACCCACCCCACCCCCGTCTCCCCCTCGCGTGCCGCGCCAGGATTCATGGGGGCTCGCAAACAGCTCTTGCCTCAAAAACCTACGGTCGGGGATATATTTTCGGTTCTTTCTTTTTTGTGCGCGCGGGGCGTGTGCGCGTGCAGGAAGCCATGGAGAAGGGGAAGGCGGAGTACAAGGCGTGCGTCAAGAGGGACATTCACATCCGCATCGATGAGAACGACTGCCTGCCCCCTGACGTGTAACGCTGCTCACACTCAACCTGCCACACTCGCACACCCTGTCCCATATTAGTACGAGAAGGAACACCCGATACTGCTTTTTTTACTATTTTTTATTTTACCAGATAAGGCCCACTGAGCTATATAGCTCTTTCAGAAGTAACCGAAAAGCTCAACAAAGTGGTCTATCATCACGTGGAAATGTATAGCAGCGAAATACTCATAAGCGCATGTCGTTTCTAAATGTGGAGGTGAAAAACCGGAGGACCTTGAGAAAAATCCACGCCACCAGGGGGAGAGAGAGAGAGAGACACGCAAACTCCAAATATACAGCAGGCATCAGGGTTGGGATCAAACCCATTACCTCCTGCATACCAGACGAGCGAGATAACATCTCACCACTGTAGCATTATAAGGCCATGAACCACCAATCGAGAGATGTGCCAGGTGTGGCTCGTGGTTAGCGTGGTCGACTAAGCACCCGTGACCCTAATTCAATGCCCCGGCCGCAACTAACACCAGCGGCAAGTTCAGAATCTATCCTGGGCCTCTCCTAGGTTGACTCAGCCTTATAGCAGGGCAATGCCGTAGCCATGGAGTCTACGTTGGGGGGGACCGAATCTTGAAAACTAATTTCCTGCCTAAAATATTTAAAAATTCACTAACACATGGTATGGACTTTTTATATATTTTTTTTACAATAATGTCTAATAGTATATTGTATTACATTGCTCTTTTTTACTTTTTTACCATTTCTTGTTTCATTGTATGTAATGGCAGAGATTAGGGATTAATAAAGTACAACCATAACCACAATCATATAAACAGAAATCTATGCATTGATTTATATGAAGACAAGTCCAGATATTGTAGCCAAGGTTTAGCAAATTGTTGTTTTTATTTATATAGCATCGCAATTATTATTAAAACAAATATTTTTATAGCAATATATGGGGGGGGGGGGGGCCTTGTAGCAGAGAGTACCCTGGTGCAGTGTGTGAACGTCAGCACAGCAGGGTAAGATGAGGGGGGCGGCGTCGTTGGGCGTAGTGTAGGCCACAACGCTCCCCTCGTGTGCCGTGACGGCCTCAATAGGTGCTCGCTAACGGAACCTGCTTCAACAGTGGTCCGTGTCCTGTGTTCTGCGTGCGCGCAGGGCCGGTGGGCTGGAGATGTACAGCGGGGACGGGAGGATCAAGGTGGAGAACACCCTGGAGAAACGACTGGAGCTCATCGCGGAGCAGGTGCGATCGCTACGTGCAGCCCCTTTGTCAGCCCACACACGTGGCGAGGGTCTCCTCGCCACGTGTGGGGTCGTGGGGGGTTATTTGACCGGACTTTAGCGCTCTGGTCAGAGCATGCTGGCGAAGGCGGGCAGCGTAGGTGTGGCAGCACGGTGGCTGTTGCTGCGCTGCTGCACTCCATGTAACCCCGCAGCAGCCTTCAGTAACCTTCTACAATCTTGATTTGAAGCTTTCGTGACTGCAGGAATCCACACTTTTTGTTTTTTTCGGTAAAGTCACGTAGGTAGAAAAATAATAGATCACGACGTTTCGATCGTAACACGAGCAATCGTCATCAGGCAGGCCTACTTCAACAGTTTTTCTTGCTGTGGTTGTCCCACCTGATGACGATTGCTTGTGTTGCGATCTAAACGTCGTGATCGATTATCTTTCTACCTACGTGACTCTACCGAAAGAACCAAAGAGTAACCTCTTCTATACTTAAGTTGTCGTCCATCCAAACACTGCCCAGGCTGAATCTTCAGAGATACAGGATCGGGTGCAATCTGGCTGAGTTGGTTATTGGTGGGAGTACTGGCACCCAAATCTACGTAACAGCCCGAGCACGCGTTCAAAGCGTTAGGATTGAGATTCGGCGACGAATTTCTCGATACATAAGCCATTAAAAGCTGGACCGATCACGTATAGGCGGCGGTGTCTATGTTAATAAATCAAACTGGTTCATAATTCACGTGGCCCCATGGAGTGAAGGTCAAGTGATGATGACACAACACCCGGCCACGGGCTTGTCTCGTATCAACATGGGACACCGAGACCAGCAAGCAGAGTGGAAAAGCCACGGGACTTGACCGTGCCGCGTTATCACCGTTAACCTTTCGATTGACCGTGAAGCCAACGCGCTTGCGTTGTTAATTAAGATAAAAATGCCGACATCGGTACAAAAAGCCAGGTTTTTTACTGCTAATTGATGACACCTTTAAAAGAGACTCGCCACCATTGTTTTGCTGTTAAACAATTAGAATTTTAGCAGGTAAGGTCAACTGAGCTATATAGCTGTTTTTCAGAAGCGACCTGGCCACGAACGACAGCTCAACGAAGTGGCTTATCATGTGGAAATGTATAACAGCCAAACACCCTGAAGAGCATGTCGATTCTGAATGTGGAAGGGAAAACCAGATGACCCGGAGAAAGGGACGCAAATTCCAAATAAACAGGTGTCAGGGTCAGGGTCGAACCCACAACCTCCTGTATACCAGACAAGGTAGTTAACATCTTGTGACCGTGCCCATTACACTCCCAGCCCGATGGCCTGCGAGATGGCTGTAAAGAAAATGTATTTCCTGACCTACGCAGGAGATTCCTCCAATTTTGTATGTATTCTTCATTCCCTCCGAGTAAACAGCGTGTGGAAAGGAACCGAATCGCAATCACGTCAAATGTTTGCACGCCGCGCAGTTTCCGTTCACTCGGGAAGGAGGTGCAAGATTGCCCCCCCCCAAGCTCTGCGGTCCCCGATATGCGAAGGTGTTATTCTCGCCAATTAATGGGTGCTTATATGTGGGAGGATACCGGAGCACCCGGAGAGATGGTTGTAAGTTCAAATTCTGATTTGGTGGGGGGGGGGGGGGTGTTGACTCATATTCCTCCAGGGTCGATCAAATTGGTACTATTTTGTGGGGTAGGTCTGCAGTGGTTGTCTGATGGGACGGATTCACGTCTGTCATAGGAATGTGGAACTTACACCACTGGCTTAAGGCTGTAAATAGATTAGCACCACCTCGATAGTCATTTGAGTAATGGTTTTCACATGCGAGAAGACAACTTAAATGGCGCTTACATTATCTCTCTTTGCTCTCTCCCTTCCCATTTACTTTTCCACCTGGAACCGTGGCTGCAGCTGCTCCCAGACGTGCGAGTAATGCTCTTCAAAGTCAACCCCAATCGACGCTTCTTCGACTGAGCACAGCTCAGCACATGGCGCGATAGCACCCACAGACCATAAACATTAATACACGATTCATGTACCATCCTCTACACACAACGTGCATCACACACACCATCTCTACATAACACACATCATATACATACAATCCACATCATGCATGCATCATCTCAACACACATACATCACATCATACACCACCTTCCACACCCATCACACGGTCATCCAGGCATCACACACACCATGACCACCATGTCAACACAACACACCTATTACACAACATACATTGCCATCGACTATAGCTTGTGAACACGTTTGTTGGTGCATTATTCAATAAACATTTCAATGTCCGAACCAAAGTTTAGGGCGTGCAACTCAAATCTGTTTATCCGGAACTTTTAACTTTGTCAATTTAATTCATCACCTTCCGATGCATTGTAAATGTTTGGGTATCAAAAGACCATGAACTGGTGGTTAAGTCACCGTTACCGTCAAGGTGAAATAAACCCTATTGAAGTTGGGGTTCTAATTAAAATCACAAAATTTACACAATTCGTATTCAGAGCTTCCGCCTTCAGAATATTAACACTGTAGGAGTGCAAGAACCTGGTTTTAACTGAAACTGGGAACTGCAAAACATTTCAAAATTCTGGACCCTGGCCAGTGTGAGGTCGACAACGCCTGCATTAATTCCAAGACACACGAGCCAATATTCTTTAACTTACCAAGCTTTTAGAAATACAACTTGTACCGTCAAGAAAAATCAGAAGACACATTTACCATAGAATGTCACTGTTGAAAACTTAATTTACGGATGTTTTATTCTTAAATGAATCTTTGCAATTGATCACAAATTGATTAAATCCATCATATTTAAACATACGAGCCCATTGAGATTTAGCATCTCCATTGAAAGAGAGTTGTTACATTATAAGGAAAAAAACATTGCTGTAATTATTTTGCGTATGCACTTTTTAATATTGTTTTATTTGGACTAAGACATTGCACAATGATTTACCCTTTCTATTGAAATACAATGGTCGATTCATACCAATTATATTCCAATTGTGCTTTCGGCATTTACGCACAGAGCGAAGGATCCGACATTTCCAGTTCCCCCATCTCATGCATCTGGCCACATTTCGCTGGGCAACATCCCAGAAGCCAGCAATCACATCATGGGTGGTGCCAATATTTGACAAGCACGGAATTCCCCGACTGCAAAGAACAGGGGGGAGCAGGTGGCATGGGTACGACGGGCCCCTTCTTTCTCAGTGATGTTTAGTCAAAAAGATACTGCATTTCGGAGGAAGAAGATGCTGTAGTCAGGAGGATGGGACAATTAGGCAGGCTCACGTGACACAAAGGAAAAATGTTTATACTGTTTAGCAGTTTTATAAATATGTTCAGGTTAATGAAGGCATGTGAATAGAGTACGTGAACATGTTTTTAACATTAAGAAAACCGAAATCGGTACCATAACCGTAGGCCGAATCTGTATCCTCCACATGGTTACAAGAAGGTCCCTGTCACAACCCTGCAACTACAACATCTTTTAATGGAGCGACACATTTTTTAAAATGTTTAAAAGTGGATTGAATTAAAGATATTCGACAACAGATAAAAGTGCAGGTAACGTTTGATTTACTGGTAAAATGTAGTCAACTGGTTCCTGCACACCTGTCCCATAATCACCCATAAGTTCAGTGAGTGGCGGGGGTAAATGATTTCCCCCCCCCCCCACCCAAGTTAGTCAGGATGTGGTTAACAGCCCCCACTGCCTCATGCGTGCCACCGTCCGTGTGCCACTGTCCGTGTGCCACCGTCCGTGTGCCACCGTCCGTGTGCCACCGTCCGTGTGAAAGACTTTGGCCCGAGATGTATGAAGGTCCCATTTTCACACAGCCAAGACACCGTGTACTTCCTTCATCTGCACGATGAGCGAGGCATTCGCTGTGCCTAAAACTGCCAAACGATGAGCCCTGGCATCTTGGCGTGTTGGGCAAATTAAGTTCTGCCACCAAATTTCGATAGGTTTTTACTCGTTCTTTTTTTTGTTCTGGTGCAGTCATTCTGTGCTGCAGCCGAAACTGTCGAGCTGGCTACACGCGGAAGAACTCGACCTCACTTTCGGTTGGGGGGAGCCTGGGAATCAAACGCAGGATACTTCAGTGGTTGGCCCCAAGTGCTCCGACATCAGCGTCTCACGAGGCACAACCCTGAGCCACTTCTCGTGTTGATGTTTTACAAGTGTAGGAGGCGAAAATGAGGTTTTGCAGTCAAATCTCAGAACTGAATCAATTCTGGAACGAAGTATTTAAATGTTTACACGCTGGGTGAAGGCAATTGGGGGGGGGGGGGGTGTCTGCTCTGAAATTTATCAACGTGGCCATTGAAAAGCTGCTAACGCCCTCTGCACAATGAGTGCACAATGAAGGGAGGAACGAAACGCAAAACTCAATGCATTCCATGGATTGAATATCATTTGAGTCGAATCAAGGGGCATTATTGTCATCAATTGGCTGCTTATGCCTGTTAAGGGATACCTATGCAAACATTTAATCGCTGAGTGACTTGAAAACTATGTGTCAGATTACCTGAGGTTATTAGGGAGAGACTCATGGCCTCATCTGATCCAATGGGAATTGGGGAGGCTTCCAGTGTTGACATACGCACGGATCATGGCGAGCGACGTTTAGCGATGGGTTTCACATTGCGCGAACCGCCCACAAAACCTGCAGCTTTTACACAATTTGGCAAACTTGTGGAATAAAACACGATGCACTTCTCGCGCCAGCCAATTCGATTTCGTTCAGCGTTATATATATAAAAAAAATTACGTGCGCGAGGTTGCATTGTCCAGATTGTATTATATATAAGAATGTATTCTTATTTCATATGCACGGGACAATGTTGTTCTTTGTATTGTTACAAAAAGATTTCACTTCGATCAACGCAAGATGTGCACCGTCCTTCAGCTGGAAACAAACGTCAACCCACCCCGATCCGAATTAAAAAAGCGGCCCCAAAGTTTCAGAATTCGAGTGTTTAAAATTCAAATGATTAAGGTGGGGCTCGTGTCAATTTGGGACAGCAGTGCTGTAAATGTTTTCAATGGTTTAAACCCCCACTTCGCCATGCGCTAAGGCGACACGGGGAGTACTTTAAAATCGGGCCAAAGCAAACACACTTGAGGTCACGCTTGCCTGCCGTAGTTCTAGTTTTGCACAGTTCGAGATTTCAATTTCCACAGCGTATTGCACGTGCTAAACACAATAACAATGTTTCCCGTAAAGCAGATGTTAAAAGACCATGTGACATCATTTGCAAGGGTAGACCACTGTGTTCATGTTAGAGCCCAAAGCTCAACAATTAAAATTACATTAAAATTACAAAAATTTAGTTTACAAATGAGAAAAGAGATACGCTTATCAATGGGCTTTCACTTTGTTTTAAGGGTAAATGGTTTAAAAATGTTGGTTCCAAGTGGTTTTTAGGCAGATATATTAATATTTCCATGCCAGACATACAAAGCTCATATGTTAAATATATTTCATAGAGATGTGCATATCTCACACTACATTTTTCATTCGTAACATAACTACACTTGTGAACAATTAAAAGACTTGGGCAAAGACGGTGGTACCCAACCACACCCTTGTAAATGAAATCACAGGCTCCTAAACCTTTGCCGTGCTGTGGGTGGCAATCCCTTCAAATGGCTACAGGAATCATGACCATGCGTACTACGCAGCCACTCTGAACACAATGGATCTCGCAGAGACGTAGGTGGGGGATGGATGTTCGTAGCTACGTTGTAAAACACCAGAACAGGGAGAACTGGCCATCCATGAAGATTGTAATCCACCGATACGCAGTTTCTCACCCAGTGTGTACACGTTGACGGGCACGTGAACCACAAACACAACTTTTCCCACAGCAAGACCTCCACAGTGCTGAGAGGTCATACCCACACTCGATTTCAGTGTCGCAAAAACAATGGCTTTAGCTACATTGGGTACAGATGGTGTAAGCCTGAAACACTCTTAATTCTACAGCAATGCCCAGGTTCGATACGAAGGCCTTGTTAAAATGGGCTCCACAAGCTGATGTGTTTGCAGGTTGAGCAGAATCAGAATATTGAATTATACTGTAGGAATCCAATGAGCCAATAACGCTCTTTTTTGCAGACGCCCAGAGAGCATCAGAACCGGCCACTATGTTGTCCAATGGAAACGGGAACAGTGACACACCACCGCAGTGTACGCTACTCGATGGGATTTCTTGTCACCCAGAGAAAGTAATGGCCAGCCCGAAGCCATGGAAGAAGCGTGTCACGACTACATGGGGAGGATGTGGGGGGGGGTGCCACAAGGTTGTTTAATATTTTCCAAATGGAAAAAAACTAGTTATGAAAATGACATTTTGTAAAATTTGACCCAAAAATCGCACCAATGGCTCCAATTTTGTTGACGCCTTTAAAAACTTTGTGCATCATGATGTATCAATGATGTGATTGGCTTAAGATTACAGCTGCACCAACCAGCACGGTGAAGTATGGTCAAATCAGCCCCATGACTGAGACACCGCATGGGCAGGCTTTCATCCAGGGGTGGATTGACAAAGGGCTGAAAATTACATTTTCTGGGAGCGGTGATCTGTATACCACGAGCAACCTGCAATGTTTTCATAGGTAAACAACAAAGTAGGCACCCAATGCTGCTCATTGAAATTTCGAGGCTACAAAACAGCTACAATGCAGCCTTGTGTAACGAGGAATTCGTATATCTTCAGAACGTTAGGCTACATGTGTCCGTAAGCATATCCCTTGCCAAACACACTGCTGGTTTTTTTCGTCTGAAAAACTTGGAATTTCTAATTCGGGGTAAACAATTTTTTCTCAATAAACCACACACAAATGCAATCCAGATTGCATGTGTGGAGAGGTCGCAGGCTCACGAATGGCTGCTTGTGGCCAGATAATAAGATTTCTCACAATCTTCAAATTTAATTCAGTTCCAATTTAATTTTAAAAATACATCTCTTACACAGGCTGTTTTTCACTGATGTGTTTTGTAGACCACTGTCTGGTCTGCCATGGCTGCTGTATGTTCTGCAACTCCCGGCTGTTACATCCATGTTATGCAGTAAGAAAGCGAAATTTTGGACACCGTGAACAAATATTTTTAACGCCTTTAAACTGTAATGCACATACTTGCCTCTCGAAGCCTAGCACTGCGCTTCAACCTGGGTTCACACCATTAGTTGACCAATGAGGTTGCATGCAACCGAATAGACGTCTATGCAATGCAGTCGTGATCACTTGTGCAATTGGTTCCTTACAGCAGAGACTGCTTTTAAGCAGTCTGAAGCTATGTATTTCATCGTACGCTACACATTTGGAACTTCTTGATGTTACAATCCTGTAAAAATGTCTTTTTTTGCTCAATTGCGTGCTCAGATGTGGACAAAACGTTTGCAGGCAATAGTCGTGCAATTTCAACGTCGATTTGGTTGCACAACCTATGGCTTCAGGTGTGCACTCTTTTCGACTGCCTCTTGGCGTTGGGTTGGGGAAGATGGGCTGGAGATGTCTATATAACCTCCCAGCAAGTATCTCAAGACACCAGGCCTTCACAAAACACATAAGCCAGACAGAGATGGGGAACACCGGCCAGCCTGCCACGGTAAATCACACATCGGATGTAAACCAAACAAAGAAAGGTAATCATAAAATCTCAAGTGGCACTGATAAACCAGTCTCAACTACTGTATTCAGGTAGACAGCAAACATCTTAATAGCTTCGATTTAAAGCTTTCGTGACTGCAGGGATTCATATTCTTGGTTCTTTCGGTAAAGACACGTATAAGGGAAGTAATAAAATAATAAAAATACATTTATTGCTTTATTTTTTATTATTTCCCTTCTACGTAACTTTACCGAAAGAACCAAGAATATCTTAATAGCTGGCTCGCTTAATGAGCTGGCTAGCTTAATAATGAGCCGGCTAGATTATCAACCAGCAAATCAGACAGCAAGCAGGTGGTTAAGCTAACCAACCAACCAGTCAGCCAAACAATCCAGACAAGCTTCCAACTGCCAAACCTACCAGCGATCCAACGAATGAACGAGCCAAAGCCAGCACATGCAGCCAACCGGGGAACAATCCAACCCGCCAAGTTCAAGAGGCAACCCAAGGCGTCAAATGCAATCCATCCATCCCAAGCGCGAACGACAACTCCGTAAGGTTGCTCCGTCATCTTCTGCTGCCGACCACAAACACTTTAATATAAGCCACTCAAGCCAAGTGTGCACAAGCACCACTAATCGTACACATACAGGCACACCTCCTTAACGACTTCGCATGACTGTACCTTTCCAAGCGAGTACGAACACAACTCTCTCAACGACCCAGCTTGGAGCATACTTTCTGAATGCATTATCCAAAAAAAACCACTTCCTCTGATGCCATCCTGAACACCCCCCGTCCCATAGATGCAACTCCATTGAAGCTAGCCACCCGGACAGATGTCGATGTGAACACAGCTGTCGAAAAAACCTCTCCACCTGAACCACCAGTTTGCTATGCCACTCCTCCACGAAATCACATTTTGCTATGAGCCTATTCTCAACGCAGCTACTTTTGAACACACCTTCATGTGAACAGATCGTGCTGTGACAATCCCTCCTCGTTAAAACATCTCCCCATAACACTAGTGTCAAGCACACCTAGCTATGAGCACACCACCTTTATGAGAACAAACCTATGAATACCATCTATGCGAACACACCTCTCAATACTAGCCTGAGCACACCTAACTATGGACACACCATCATGTCAATATATCTATTAAGACACCTCCGTATGAACACCCGTTCAACCAGACTCCCCACGACTATGTCAACAGTTGCTGCGTTCTGAAATAATAGTGCCCACCGTCCATCCAAGGCTTGCCCTACAAGCTCAATACAGGCCAACGTGAACGTTTATCACGCAACAATACTGCTCACATCGTGTCCCCTGCCTCCCCCCACCCCCCCCCCACGATGGGAAAGGCTTCATGGGATAAATCCCAAGAGATTTCTGGAAGCCGCCTACTTCCACCGAGTCCCGATAAAGCCTCATCCTTGGTTTCCAACCGCAACACTACCACCCACAAACCTACTTCACCAACACCACTGCCACGAATGGGCATTTCATCCTGATAACTGTCGAAAAAGACTAACCGTGTTCACAAACACACACGCGTGCACGGCAGGTCAAAATAATCGTTATCCTTGTGCTCAAAATGGCTTGAAAAGCTTCTCATCTCGAGTGGGAGACCTGAGCTAGAAGTGTAAATGCCACATTAATATGGTAGGGGACAAGTTTGTTTTTGTTTGTTTTCCTAATATATATGTACGAGATGGGCACAAAATTCTGCTGGTCAAAGTAAAGTGTGGTGGTGCGGATGTACAGCGCCAATCCCTTTTATCACAAACTGTATAAAATCTGCAGATATCCGCCCAGCGGATTTTTTGTTTTCAACCAATAAAAATGTGCATGATTGTTGTTGTTGTTGTAGTAAATGAATGCACGCGACTTAACGTGGACGTGCATGGAGGTGGGAGTGTGTAACACTCCATCCGAGTGTGTACATAGATGGTGGGGGGGGGGCATGCCTGAAAGTGTCACAATGTGCATGCGTCTGCAGCATCGACCTGAATGTACCCTGAATGTGCACAAAGGGGGGAGGGGGAGAGGGCATATCTGCCAACATATTTGTTGGTCTCGGGTGTAATGCACGTCAAGGTACGCGAGTACGTGTCTTGCACGCGTCAGCATGTGTGTAATCCCAATGAACACACCGGTGTATTCCTTGTTTTTTTAAAGAACAGCCCGCTGTGTTTCAGCAGATGAGCGTACAATATTTAGTAAGTACAATGTGAAACCTAAAGATGATAACACCGGCAAACACAAATTCGGTATTCCGCATTCTGATCACGTCAAGATTTATGGTTTTGCAAAGTTTGCAATTCCATGCCCATCCCCTACATAAACATGCACATATACAAAAGAAGGTAACCACACACACTTATGTATACACACAAATATAGAAATGGTATATATATACCAACATATGTTGAGAATATGCCGCATATATATACACGGGTAATATACTGCTGTAGAAAAGGGACAAATCAAATTTTGATTTGGGAGACAATAAAAACCACAGCGCCCAGTGCACGTGTTACAATATACAGGGGGTCCTCTATTTAAGAACGAGTTAGGTTCCAGATGTCTATTTGTAAGTCGATTTGTTTCTAAGTCCAACTTTACTCCTGTCGATTCCAAACACGTACGGCATACATGTTGTACGGCATACACTAAACACGGGGAATGGCTTTAAAAGTTGTATAATCTCCTCTAGACGTAGATGCCACTGGTTCTTCAGATTCGACAGATGCAGATGCCACCACCGCCATTCTATTGCGCAGCGGTTGAACTTACGCCTCTCAGTCCGAACAGGCAACTGGACATACGGACAGGTCTGGTCGTATCTCTGAAAGCTCGTAAGTCAAACGTTCGTAAGTAGAGGAGTCCCTGCATCTAACTAAAGCATCATTCAGCATTTCCCACTCAAGGAGGCAGCGTAAAAGGAACAGGAAATGCCCACGTTGCCCAAGATTTTGAGAACGTTACACATCGCTCCCCAAGTCTGTTATTGTTAGTAATTCGTGATAATGTGGCCAAAAACATCAAGGGAATTACATGGTTGAGATGAAATAAGATCCTGGAAACATGGGAATCCTGCAAGGTGAACGCAAGATATCGCAGATTTCCTGGGTACGATCCACACACAAAATTCCTCTCTCGTACAAATTTAACCCTCACCTCTCATGACCCGTGGATAAGCTCGGCTGTACAGGGCCAAATGCGAAAGAGCAACGGGAGGATTCATCCCCTTTCTAACATTTTCTAAAAAATGATACAGTATACATAGCACGCGCACACACACACACGCATTGATACATTACATGTATATGCATATACTCCCGACATCTAACATCATGAATAATAAAATATACGTAATGTAAAATGGCATTAACTTCACGTTGTATTATTCTCGCTAATGCATCATCTTAAAATCATGCCTAATATCCCATGAAATATATTCTATATGTGCACACTACAAACTGTACATTACAATGAGCAGAGCTGAGCCTGGGAGACTAGTGGCGTGGCCAATACAGGACTTTCACACTAAGCAAGGAGAACACACGCGTGTGTGAGTGAGTCTCAGTGCACAAGGTGGGGGGGGGGGTTTCCACCTTTTTGGTTGACCAAAGCCAGACCCACAAGGTGCAAGTTGAGCAAACACAGGTCCAGCTGCGTAGCACGGTTGACTACGTACGGTGCGAAACAAGTTATCACACACATGTACGAGACATTGCGGCAAGCAATGCAATTTGGTTAGAGACGCATTATCAGACCATCATGCCGATGCCGCATTCATCCTGCAAGACAGACCCAAGAGTGATGATATTGTGGACTGGCCAGATTCAAAACCAGAGAGATGGAAACTTATTGTGCACCGATCACTCATACCTGTAAGAGTTTTGGGAAAATTATTTTAAATTCCAGTTTTTACATAAAACCTTTCTTTCTAAACACCGGGGCAAACAATGACATCTACCTTCACCTTTCTGAACAACGGTTACAGTAGTAAGCATGAAGCGATTCATACTTTGCCCCCTCCCTCTCCCTACCACTTCAATTGTATCACTTGTGGAGGCATCAAAGAGGTCTTGAAAGCTTGCACTGTCCATGTCTTTTCAAATGTCGTTTGTATCATTTCATTTGTGCCGTCTGCATTGTCTCCATTGCAGTTTGTATATTAATACTACAAACAAGAAAGTACAATCGAGACCTTACCAAAGCACAAAAACAGACCGGCCGTCTCCATGGCTCCATCGTTACTGTTTGTACGGTACTATTAATCTCATTTTAAAAGTCTGAACTGTCTGTTGTCATTTACAATTTGTGGCTTATTTGTTGCATTAGCTATAAATGAAACCTGGATGAACTGCGGGGCACGAATCGAACGTTAAAAAGATCCCAACATGCAAAAGTCAATGCACGAATTGCGAAATTAAGAATTTGAATCGACTAATCTATGAAATGTTACATCCATTCCAGGAGCCTACTTCCCCAATTGTGCCACCCCCTCACCGCAAAACAATTTTCCTTCATCATCACATATCTCTTCCCCTGACACCAGGCCAGACAGAACGCCAGACAGACGGCCAAAGAGAGAACCGAGCAAGACAATGGGCATAAAAGGACACTCCCCTATACACCAAGTGAAAGAGGACGACACACAATCCTGGCACAAACACTACGTCAAACACACGACCCTCCCCCTCCCAAATGCCAGGCAAAACAATGCAGCCCTCCGAGACACCGGGTCTAAAGGGAACCTCCTGGAAACACCACGCCAGACGAGCAGTCACAGTACACGAGGCCACACATTGACCCCCATCTCACTGGACATCAGGCCAACTCAGGTCCTATGGAACACCAGGCCAGACATCATGCACGTTTACAAGGACACACAGGGCCACAATGGGATTTCCTCGAGCCACTTAGAAAGGGGACTTCTAAGACACCAAAGACAGAGCAGCCTGTCCTAGACATGCACACTGCAGGAACTGTGGTTGGCAGGCTGGCAAGTAGAATCGCAGAGCAGCAGCAGCACTCCATCCATTAGACACAAGACACAGTGTTACAGCAAGACAAATAACTATTTATATATAATATATAGTGTGTATATATAAGGCACTGGGACTGAACATTGACTCCACCTCTTGAGTGAGAAGGTGAGAGTGAGGAGGAGAAAAGGGAACGAGTAGGGAGGGGGTTGGAGAGACGCGAGTGCAATGGGGGGTTGAGGGGGGGGGTTGCGTGGAGAGGGGAGGGGGGTAATTTTCCCCACTGCCCCTGCATTCAACCTTTGCCCCCGGTCAAAACATTTGGAAGGACCCCCCCGGCCATCCCAAAACCCCCAACCCCCGCCACAACTCCATTCTCCCCCCGCCACTATAAGTGCGCTTTTGCATTCCGCGCAAGTGAGCTAAAACGAGCTAACACGGGTTTACACAACTGCGTACACAAAACCAACGCATTACGACCATACCCAAGCTATGATTCTGCAACACCAGTATATATACTAGGTCATGTTTTTTCTTCGTCCAAAAATCAAAAACAGCACGCACACACACGGACGCATATAATAAGACAACAATAATAATAAACCAAACGGCACTATTTTTGTTTAAGAGTGTACGCGCACTCGTACGCACACACACTTCAAGCATAATAAACATTATCGGATCGCCTACAAAAAAAATGCACGGCACACCACCACCAAAAACACACGCATAAAACCTAGAGCCGACACAGTGACGCCGAGTAATACACGATTAGCACACCACACCGGGTGACGATAAACACATACACGCGAGGGCTTAATAAAAAAAACAGCCCCGTGTCAAACTTAGTTACAATTAAGAAGATTTACTTAATTAGTAAAACGATCACGTGGAGACAATAGTAAAAGTTTAAAAAACGTAACAAATAAAACACAGGCCACATCCGCTGGCCTACGCAGATCCCACATGCGTAGTAACTAGCCCACAGCACAACTGGACACGTTAACACAGAACGGTCGGCTCCAGCCATGATTAAGCATAACCTCTGCAACCTCGAACACCTAAGCAAAAACTTCGGACTCCTAAATGCTATACGAATACATTTCAGCCTCTTTTAATTATTGACGTCTACACCTTAAGGCCTATAAAGCAGCTCTAAGCTTTTGTAAAATCTTTACTGTATAGCCACCCGTTCTGAAAACTTTAAATGTATAACGTCCAAAACTTAATATCGGTCCTGTAACCCCAAGCTTACAAGCGCAATACCTGACTATGCTCACAGCCAACAAACAGAACTGGCCTTCGTTTTTCTTTATCCAATACGCACGTAAAGTACAGGGGGGGGAGGGGGGTCGGCCAGGGGATCGATGCCTCTTTTAAAATTCTCGACCCAGGTCGGGTGTCACATGTACAACTCGGTTTCATATAGCGTCGAAATACAAAAAAAGGGGTGGCAATCCGTACGCTGCACTCAATTGCGCGCGGGCGCGAATCGCGGGAAGGCACCGCTGGCCGAGTGAAATCAGTGAAATCAGTGAAATCAGCTCGCGCGCCATTCCGATCGGCGTCAATCCACCAGGCCTTACCGCACACTTTTCGTCTATTGCCTGTCACGTAGTCTCGATGCATGTAACAAATGCCTATTGCTCTCTTACCACCACATGGGTCTCTCAATACGTACACACATACAAAACACGCACGGACGCAGACAAACACGTACAGCAGTTAAAAGTTGTTCTTCTAGACACACACTGCGTGCAGTAGAGAACAAAACGGCACGTAACGCCTAACATGATAGAACGTGTACTTTGAATATTGAGAAGGGTATGGTTGGACCAACCCACCAAACACTTAATCAACAGAGAGTTTTGTTTAACATTTTTGAAATAAAAAAAACTAGTAAAAGCCATTAGGTTTTAAATAATAACAATTATCACCATTACCAATACAGAGTAAATCCATCAACGCTCTTTTAAGTAAAAGGAATATACCAATTAAAACATAATTTCAGTATCTACACGAGCATAGACAGTGGACACAATAAAACATCCCTAAATAGACCTTGGGACGAGTGCTGTTACAGAGGTTCTATTGAGGCCAGCATGGCATATAAATCGGTGGTGTTGGTGGTGTTCAGAACCATACACATCCGCTTATAAGAGTTCCCGGAGTGCTGGTGTTGGCCAATATACACTGGCTGATTAAATTATGCTTAAGCGGACCAATTGTAGACCAGGGTTAGGTACCGCACCCTTTGTCGTTCCCTCGCCCCTCCGATTAGCACGGTCGGCTACGTACGGTGTGAAAGAAGTTCAACATACATACACACACGCACACAAGCAACAGACAATAGTAACCACACACTCAAAACACAATCAAACTACCCACACTTTAAAAAACACAAATACCGGACACACTTGACACACAAATTCATAACGGATCAGTGAAGTTCAAAGCCGACAATCAACAGCATTGCCATGGCACTGCTTTAAGAAGGCCAACCATGGCAAGTTAGCTTCGATATATATATAAAAAAAAAATTGTTCAAGCACGTACAATACACACCACATCTAGAGATAAATGTGTATTTTGACGCTATAAAAAATTGTATTGCATACATAGAGTTCTGCATTTTTGTCATTGTTACAAAATTGTTTGTCGTTAAATGCTTACTCTGATGAAAAAGATAAAAATGCAGTTTTGAATGGGGTCGCATTAATGATCAAATTTGTTCAATACAATTTTCATTCACGACAGAAAGTGCACATTGGCAGCGGCTTGCACGTTGAGTGTGAAGAATGATTTTCACTCTTCACGAAATTACAAAGTTCGTGAAAGCACAACTCATAAGTCAATATTGTAAAATATCAGCTCGTAAAACGTTGCATTACGTAAAAAAGTACATACATGATTAAAACCTGTTAAAGTCAGAGTTGAAAATACATATTTCTTATTTGAATTCCCCCAAAAATATTTTCTTGGAAGAAACATTTGGTAAATATTACTGCGTGGTCTGAAGGTCAATGCATCCACAAAGGTTACTTTTTTTTTTAAACCAAAACAGAGCCCAGTTCCATTCTTTGGTAGTTTCTCAGGGAGCATTACTCAGAAGCTCTGCTGTAAACCTATCCATACCAAGTGGGCACTGGGTGCTACTGCAATAGTGTAAATTAAAAAATGTGAAAAACACCCTCTGGTAATCACGAGCCACGGCTCCAAAGCAGGAAAATTAAATTAATGGAAAAGGTCTCTCATGGGCCTTAATAAGTTATATTAAAATACAAACCTTTTGACAATGCAGAACTCTAGATAAACAAATGTACATTCCCAGATGTAAACCACATTCTGTATCACGGAGGAACAGATCATTCAATCCTAGTTTGAATGTTGAATTTCGATGGGATCCACCATCTTCGTACTCCGACCCCCTACACCCCTCCCCACCCCACAAACCTCTAATAAAAATTCGGAGACGCCACTCGCTCAGCCCCCCAAGATCATCACATGTAGGTGAACGTGCCGATCTTGCCGGGGCTGAGCGGGTAGCCCGTGTAGATTGCCGAGCCTTGCGATGCGCCTAGGTACGGGGCCCTCACTGGCAGAGCGGCAAAGTGCGGCGAGGGCAGCACGCGGTGACCGATGGCCACCAGGGCCCCCGGGAAACCACCGCCAGCGCCAGCGCAGCCACGACCCTGGGGGGGTGCGGCAGGGCCCCCGGCGGAAGGATGCGGGGGCCCCACCAGGTGGGCCGCGTAGGTGTAGAGGTGCGTCTGTGCGGGCGGCGGGGGAGGTGCTGCCAGGTGGGTGTGCAGCGCGTGCGGGGGGCTCGCGTGCGGGAAGCAGTAGGGAGCGATGTACGCCTGCTGGCGACGGGCGCTTATGCCTGACGGGGGCTAAGAACGAACACACACACGCACATGTACGTACAGTCGGATACACGGAGGCAGAGGTAAGCATTGACAACAGCAGCAGCAGCAGCAGCAACGACATCCGCCATTCACAAACAGCACCTTGTGCCAAGTTTGGTGTACTATGCATTTCCCAATTAAAAACTAAAGCAAGGATGCAAAAAACACGCACGCGCAGCCACGCGCAAGAACAAGGCTCATCATGAATTGGACAAGAGTACAGGGTTCCCCGAGCCACCAGGGCACTTCTCTTTGTTACGGCTCTCACCTGGCTGAGGTTTAAGGGCTGCTGCTGGTGCTGATTGTGGCTTCCCCGGTGAGGAAGGCCATGCTGCCCAGCCCCCGGCAGACCTAACCTGACTCCCCGGCCCCCAACACCACATGCATCTGTTTGGCGCACACACACACATATATATATATATACAATGACACCCAATTTAGTCTTAAACCAAGGCTCTTCAAATGTATCTTTTGGCAGGCAACATAATAATATAAGCGTGTTCTGGTGGACAATGCGATGTCATGTCAGGTGTATAGATTTTATCACTTAACATGGCACCGTGACGTCACAGCATCTGTGCATGTGACCAATCATCTGGATTGCTCATCTACAGGTCACCGGTTCATCTCTGACACTTGGGTGTTATCTTTCATCTCACTCATCAGAATCTCTTTACGTGCAGGCGAGCTAAGACCGATCATAGCTCGGTGGGGTTCATTCCGGGAGCTCTCACGAGCCACATCTTGGAAGCAGGTCGCCACTTGAAGAAGGTTGGGGCCAAGTGCTGTTGGCAAGGCACTATTACAAACAGCCCAGTTGGATACCAAGCATGAGCCAAATGCAACGTGCATCGGCCAAGCTTGTCTCCGCGGAAGTGGTGCTGATGCACAGCACCAACTGCGCACTTTACGTAACAGAGCTGTGTAACTTATTAGCCATGCGAGAGGACATTAGGACAAATTTCGATTTAAAGCTTTCGTGACTGCAGGGATTCATCTTCCTGGTTCTTTCGGTAAAGTCACGCAGAATGGAAATAAAATCATAAAAATAAAACGTAGTAAAATAAGATTCTCACGACGTTTCGGCCACAACACAAGTAGCCTTCTTCAGGTGAATAAACAGGACTGTCCAGAAGACAGCGCTTGAGTGAATTGCCGATCATTAGGACAGAAAAAAATGTGTTTGCAAGGCAGACCTGGGATGCAAAGATCATACGTAACACGAAAGTCAATTCAGAAAAAAATAAAACGATCTTCCCTCAGCATAGAAAATTATTTCCCAATAAAACATTAACTGCGTGAAAACAATCAGTATAATACTATTGATGTATTGGAAGAGGTTTGTAATTGCATTTATAACTCGAAAACTTATACGCCAAAAGAATGGCATACAATTACTATTTTTACACTATGTTCTTTGAAAGGGCAAATGTAACCTTCACCTGGAAAATGGGCACATTTAATATGGAGAGATGGTGGAATTTCAAAAACAATTCTAATCAGTCATTCCATCAATAATGTATTTAAAGAAAAACGTCTTTCATTATTTCAAGAATAAAATGATTCATGATGATTGTTTGCAATTAATTTCCTCGTTTAAGCTAACATAAGCTAACCTTTAATTCCATTTTATTGATGATACATTTAACATTTTAGATTTGGGCGAAATAATGTCACAATGATCTCCCTTCTTCCACTTCACACCCTACGGGTGATTGTAGATATTGAACCTTTTTTTTTTACAGGTGCGATATATATCTCTTTTTTTTCGAAGCAACCTGGCAACAAATGATAGCTCAGCGAAGTGGATTATCACGAGGAAATATATCGCAGCCAAATAATCTAAACGCATTTTGATTAAACTGTGGAGGGAAAAACCGGAGCGCACGGAGAAAAATCCACACGGCCACGGGGAGAGAGAAAATGCAAAATTCCAAATATACCAGGCGAGGTAGTTAACAGCTCTCCACTGTGAAGCCTGTACATGGTGCGGCACCGTACGTACCTAGAGTGATCTTGTCTGTGTGCTGGTGCTGCAGGGGCTGCACCATGGCTGAGGGGGGCGCTAGCTTCCTGTACCCCCAGTCCCCTGCGGGCGACGGACGGCCTGCGGGTGATGGGGAGCCACTCTCGGGGGAGTCGCACACCGTCACACAGCCGATAGGGGTCTGCTGGTGGCCGTTAGCTTGGCTGCAGACAGATTAAACGGAACGAGTGCACAACACACATGTCCACGCCATGAGTACAAGTGCATAGACAAAGATCCCCTTACAGACTGTTGGGGCAAGCGCTGTTAGCGTGCACCTATGAAGGCTGTCATGGCACACAAGGAAGGGGATGGGTCTCCAGCACCAGTGACGATGTTTGCACACATTGCGCCAGGCACTCAATTGAGACCGAGTCGACATAGGGGAAGCCCAGGACCAGTTCAGGTATTCGTCACTGGTGTTGGCCGTGAGCGGGAATCGAACAACTGTACGTTTAAAACAACAACAGCTCAGGCGCTTGCCCGACAGCCCGCACCTGCACGTGCGCTCCTCCCTTTCCGTGTCCGTGTCGCTGCTGATGGTGATGACGCTGGTGCTGGGGCTGGGCGTGTCCGTGATGACGATGGTGTGGGCACCCCGGTGGGCCCCGGGCGGGGCGCACCACACTGCGCCTGAGCTGCTGCCCTGGGACGGGGGGCTCCCGCGCACCACCGTGCAGTGCGGGAGCAGCGCGGTGGCGGCGGATCCCGAGGGGGCCAGAGGGGGCGTTGGCGGGGAGCAGTTCTCCTTGTTGCTCCGCTTGTGCTCCCCCCCGGTTTGGCTGCAGGCAGCACTGCGCACGCGCGGAACGCAGAGTGTAGAACGGAAGGCGCGCGAGCGCAGAAACGCAATACGATTTTACTTGGTGTCTCAAGAAGCAATGTTAAAGTTGCACAGGGCTTGGGAATCTATCGGCCGTGGGCTTTATCCGATCCACAACTTCATGTCACCCAGTCTTGCAGCCACACGACGCTAGTTTGAAACAGCCTGCAAATGATATGTCTGTCAATGCATCTTAGCCCGCACTAATTGGGTAACAGAGGGGAATATTTCTGACCTGACAAACTCTTGTGTTTGTAATTTTAGCATGCTCAGGTCACTTCCGTCACTGCCAGGGTCTTGTGTTAGTAAATGAAAGTGCGAATTAGCCACGGGAAAGAAAATGTTCCCCCGCAGCCCTGTTATAGAGAAGCGATCAGTCATGGTCAGAGAAAACGAGGTCCTATTCTTGTTCTCTTCCCAAACACATCTGGACGTGTGTCGGTGCAGCTGTGAGTGCAACCTGTACGTATATTCAGTGTGCTGTCCACGTACACACACGTGTGCATGTGTAATAGTACATGTCAACGTTTTCAGGGAGAGCGTTCTTGCATGCTTGCTTTTCACGCACTGGTAGACACCTGCTTGCTATTGCATGCACCTGTGTATGTGTACCTATGCGGTTCTGCATGTGCTACCTGTAAGGTACATGCTAACGTATGCAAATGCTAGTGCACATGCATACACATATGCTGCAAATCGGGTGTACAAGCTTGTGTACATTCACGTGTGTGCACTCACCGGCAAGACTTGGGCTTGTGCTTGCGTGTGCCGTGAACCAGCGATGGGGGCTGCTGGTGCTGCTGGTGGTGGTGCTGCTGTTGGTGCCGCTGTTGCTGTTGATGCTGCTGCTGTTGGTGCTGATGCTGCTGGTGTTGATGCTGCTGCTGCTGTTGCTGTTGATGCTGCTGCATCACGTGTGGCCCTGCCACTCCCCCGACCCCAACAGCCACACCGACGGGGGGTCCTCCAGGGAGCGTGACGCGCCCTGCCAGGATCGGCGGCTGCTGCACCAGCGTCCCGTACGACGTTCGATGCGCATGAGGTGCCCTGTACAGAACATGCAGCAGGTGGAAGTCAAGTTGATACTGGAAGTGTGTTTACTCGCCGAATGCAACAATATTTCTCGCCAGCCAATTTGCTTTTTATCATTTGGATGCTGTTCATTTCCCTCCTGAGAAATCTCCTATTTGATAACCAGTCTCCCACACTGGAAGGCTAATGGGTGAATGATTGGCTCATCCTAGTCAGGTGGTCAAGCAATACGACGACAGAATCTGGAAGTACATCGTTTTAAAACTATAGTTGTTTTCCTTGCTTGAAACACAACTTTACAACATTGATACGAGTGACAAAAGAGCAAGTCTGCAACCAGTGGGATCAGATTAGATTAGAACTCTAGAGATCAAGTTAGCCCCATTTTCAAGAGTGACTGAGGTATCTGGCTGCAGCAGGAGCAAAACACAAGTATCAAATAAAAGTGACCTCACATTCGTCAATAGTACTGCCTTATTCTTGGTTCTTCCGGTAAAGTCACCACGTAGAAGGGAAACAATAAAATAATAAAAATATGAAACAATAAAATTCTCACGACGTTTCGACTGCAACACAAGCAATCATCATCAGGTGTGAAAACCACAGCAAAATTTAGTACTGCCTTAATAAGAGGGAAAAATAGATCAATATTAAGTATTCTTTATACATAATATGGTCAATTATTACACGTGGTGAATAACACAGACACTCAGTGATACAAGAAGTAGAAAGGATAAATATAAATTCAACGAGATAAGAAATAAAAGACAGAATTCCAAGAGAGTTAAGAATCTAGAGACAATGATCACTCAATTAAGTATCCACTCTACAGCTTTTTTAACATGACCGACAATTACCCAGTCTTCTCCTAGTTTCGGGGAATATCATAGTTATGAATTAATTATTCGAGCTCACCAGTTTCAAAACTTCTCTAGAAAATTATTTGTAGATAACAGCTTCAAAAGCATATGTAGGATGGGCTGCACTTGGGGATTTTTTAAATGAAATTTCTTGCTGCAATTAAACATGTGCGAAAATTGAGTGTTTTACAACTTTATAGCCCAATTAGGTTTATACACTAATCTGGAGCGTTGAACTCATGCTGCCCAGTGGTACGTGTAAAGATAAATATGACGCAAGCGCCCAAGCAGCGGGCTAAGCGAATGCGATATGCGGCCGTTAGGGGTCACTGTTGTCTGTGTTGAAATTTCCCCTCCGCAGGTGCAAGGAAAGAAACGCTGTGAATGATGACCCGACGCATGCGCCAACCCGACATTCAGAAGAAAAACAATGCAAACAGCTTTGTGTAAAGTGAGCAGTAATTTATCTAAGGAATGGCTAACACTGTGGAAATGTGGATTTCCATCACTGCAGCAAGACAATTTCTCATGGAAATGAGAAGTTGCCAATGACTGCTTCTGCAAAGGGACACCAACATTCTTGAGTTTGGCACGACGTAGTAGTGCAGAGTATTGGTACAGTATGGTTTTGTACAGTGGCAAATGATACACATGCTGTTGTAGTGTGTAGGGTTGTATGATATGTTAATGCTATGGTATAGACGATATGAAAACCGTGGTAATTGCATCGTTAGTTTTGTTAAAATACCATCATATCATTAAAATTCATACCATATCGTTTTGTTAAAAATGACCTCGCGGCAATAATAGGGGTGTGGCATGACGTGTGAAGCGACGTAATGAGGTGAGGTTACCTCCAGTCGGTGAGGGACTCGGCGAGAACCGGAGGAGGTGGGGGAGCGGCCAACTGCTGCCAGGTTGGCAGGAGAATCTGCTGGGCTCCGCTGGGCCATGCCTGCACAACATCCAAATACAACACGACCACAATAACACACGTCACCACAGTCAGATACACATTCAAGTTACAATCACAATTGCACACGTAACCAGAATGACAATAACAATCATACCTACATTCACAACTACAAAAAGACAATGACAACGACACAAATGACCAATGCACACACCTAAAAAGATATACATAATCACCGTTACACAAGTACTAGCACATATATACACGGCCACAATTAAACACTCAATTATGAATGCACATAACCACAATACTGGCACACAAATCGACACAAACGGCAACTAAGCACAACCACGCATAATATAAATTATACACATTCAAATGCTTGACGACATAAGAGATTGATGCCGTCAAGAATGGATTGACCACATCAGAGATTGGTGCCAGAAATATGCGCACCACTTGACCATATTGGTACAAGACAGAGGAAAGTGGAAACGAAATGTACAGTGGAGAGACCTCTGGGCTATCTGCCCACAGACTGTGATGATGATGATGATGATAATGACATTCAAATGCACCATCGCAATTGCAGACATCACTTGAAAAAATAATCCTCATGCAAGACTCTGAGAGCGTGCGTGCTGGTGTCCTCACTGTGCCAGTGTGCAGCGTGGCGCGGGGAGGCGGGTACGCAGGTAGCACCAGGGTGCCGCCGACCTGTGCCAACAGCCCTCCCTGGGCCAAGAGGCCCCCTCCCTGGGGCGCCAGCGTGAGCGGCTGGGCTTGGCTCACGACCGAGAAGCCGGGCGGCTTGCTGGGGGAGGCCTGCAGGCCTGCGAGCGTACACACAAAGATCCCCGTGTAGCCTGAACAGACTGTTGGGGCAAGCGCTGTAAGCGAGCACCAATGAAGGCTGGCATGGCACACGACGGGGTGGATGGCCAGCACCACGCCCGGCCGCCTTTGTCTCCCTAGTGGCGATGTTTAAACACTGCAACAGGTACTAAATTTGAGGCTGAGTCGAACAAGGGGAGGCCCAGGAATGGTTCTGATAATCGTCACTGGAGTTAGCCGTGAGCAGGAATCGAACCAGGGTCGCCAGGTTCGTACCGCAGCCCAATAACCACTCCACCCCCAAACACACTAAATCAAAAGGCCGACATGTTCGGTAATTTTAATTTCATAGCTAAAAAGCATTGTTTTATAACTTATAGCAGTCATACAATATTTTTCAGCCTTACACATACACAAAAACAATACTGAAACCTACTCTTCCACTACCTGTGACCACATCACCCATAATATGCCCGAGGTCATCAAATCTCAGAAGCTGTATGTATCTTGGCGCTTCTTTCGCACTGTACATAGCCAACCGTGCTAATTGGAGGTGCGTGAAGCTAAGCAGGTATTTGGGCCCAGATACTGCTTGGAAGGGTGGATATACGTAGTGGGCAACAAAGGCCGGTGTAGCAAAAGCCATTATTGTAATAGACTATTTTCCCACATCTATGCTCCCCACCTTCACCAATTCATACTGGCCAGCATGGTGAAGCACTGTCGAATAACTCCCATGACCTGCACTGTTTGGGGGGAGGCCCCCCCATAACAAAGGGCTGCTGGGAGGCCTTCATCCGGCAGCCCTTTGTCAATCTCCTGCTGGATGGGGGCCTCATCAATGCCATGTCAGTCACGGACGTTGTTTGACCATGCTGGTCCGTAGAAGTCGGAGGGCACACAACCAGTTCAAGTGTAACTCACCCCTGCTATTAGCCATGGGCAGGAATCCAACTCGGTTAAAAGGGTGAAAAGTGCAGTGCATGAACCATTAGGGCACCCTTTGTTCAATTACGCCGGCATAAAAAAAAACAAAATAAACTACTTCGCAGTAATTGGAATAATCTTTACAGCAATAATGACCACTTGCGCCGCAAGTCGGAAAATCAGTACAGAATGACAGTGGTGGTGGCGACGCTCACCAGTGAAGGTAGGAGGCGGACACACAATGAGTGTCTGCTGGTAGGTGTCGTGGCGCGGTGGGTACTGAGGGGGCCCTGCGGGGCCCAGCGTCACACCGCCCCGTGCCACCGGCTGATAGAGGGCGGACGGGTAGCCCAGCAGGGAGCCGACCTCCGGGCTCAGCAAGGACAACGTGGCCCCACCAGCTGACGGAGGCCCGGCCGCCTACACGCAACACACGGGCGCACCATATACTACCCGTCACAAACCACATGCAAAAACTCGTTTAAAGCATACTGCACGGCACAATGGTCAAATTGATGGCTTTAACTTGTGTATGTTCTCTAATACGTGTTCCATTTTCTGTCTCCCCGTGTAATGCCAAGAATGCATCTCTCAGTTTAACACCTAGGCTTTCGTCACCAATATTATCCATAGAGGTTTTTGGGTTAGATCGCGTAAATATATAATAAAATTCTCCATGCTACTTTTTTGAGTTTTGAGATTTTGTTCCAGTCTCTTTGTCACGTGTCCATCTTTCTGATCCATGTTATAGCAGGTAATACACAGCGACTACAAACATTCCTATTTAGACACATTGGTAGCTTCCTTTTGTTTATTATCAAGTTCGGGTTTACCAAAGCACTCCAACCCCTGCTCTCATCTGCTTTTCGCAAGTGTCCCGAGTTATATTAAAAAAGACCAGTTAAAGGTTTAAAAAGCATGCAGGTAAAGAAAAGCATTCATAACACATATTAACATAAACAAAATAACAAGCATGAAATTACATTAAAAATTCATAAGAATTAAGTATTACATAAGGATAAACGTTTAAAGCAGTTGCATTTAGGAAACCTAATCATTTAGAATCAAAATAAGCTTCACTGTGAACTGCTTTGAGACGCAATTGGAATGCAAAGTTAGTCCAAAAAATTGATCAGACATGAAAAGATCGATTGACCAAAACTGCCCTTGGAACGGCGTTGTGGAACATCTCAAGTTGCGTACATACAAGCGGGAAGGCGTGGCCAGCCGGTGCAGACTGCAAAGTAACTTTGACCTTGGGAGTTGGCGTTGACCTTGTGGCGTGCGCTCACCTGTGTGTGCATGGTATTGAAAGTGACCGTGAGGTTTGTCGACGGTCCCTGTGCCACCTGCGCGAGGAATGGGGCCTTGCTGGGCCCCAGCTCGTACAGTTGCAGCCGCCGCTTACACACCTCCATGTTCTGAAAGCACGACTTGATGCTGCGTACGGGGTGAAACCGCAATAATAACAAAAACAAACGCATCGTCATTTCACCCCGATGTATTTAAGTGTACTTTATTGTTTAAACGTTATTTTACGTTTTATTGTGAAGGGTTATCTTTAGTCTCCTGCAGGAAGGTACTGCCAGATTTTGTCACAAGCACATATTGCATGTGTGCATATGTCATTTTTACGTCTACAGGCGATACAAGAAAAATACTTATTGCTATAAACCTGGGATCAATATTAGCATTGAAAATACTCCTCCAACAAATAAAGTTTCACTCTGGTAACTTTAGCATTTGAAAAAACAATCGAAATGTCAAGTATTCTTTTTTTTAGAAGAATTGAAAACGTGCAGACGGTTTCATACATAATGAATTAAGTCACAAATCAATTATTCATCATCGTTCACCAGCTATTCAGGTCTATGTATGCCTAAAGGGTAGTTGGGTGTGTAACAATGACAGCATTAAACAAGCCTTACAAAAAAGGGTTCGACACAAAAGACCGGCTTGGCTTAGGCGTCCAGTGCACTGAACTGGCTACACCGGTCCAGACTTCAAATTCAGGTAGTCAGTTGATACAGTGATTAAACTGTGTTGTCATTGTGTAGTAAGTTTCCAGTTCCATCCGACTCCCCTATGACTGCTTATATATCCACTACCACATTGAAGTTGTATTTTTGCTTAATTTAGCCAGTCTAGCTCTGACAGTTAAGAACATCCATTTGGCAGCAATGTGATCAACATTTAGGATATGGATAAAAGGTAACTTGAACAGCACTCAAGAGTTCTGTTATGATCTGCTTCCGTAAGCAATTTCCTAATGCATGAAGTTGCAATGCTCTGCAAAAGTTACGAATGGATTCTACATCTTGTGCCACGACGAATATAGCACAGTGAGAATAAAACTGGGAAAACACAATAAACCATTTGACAGCACCTGTGCGCTCATTATGTGATCATGGTATCGTGAATATTAAAATTATGAGTATTACTGTATTTCTTTTGTCATGTTCTACTGCTGTGTTATGTTAAAATGACTTCACTGTATGTGTAGTTCACGTAATTTCATTATGCTAACATATTATATCATTACGTAAATAATTATATGACACTTCTAGATTTGAAGCGTTCGTGACTGCAAGGATTCATACTCTTTGGTTTTATTCGGTAAAGTCACGGAGGAAAAATAAAATAAAATAAAACAATTAAATCACGACGTTTCTGAGGCAACACAAGTCTCCCTCAGGTGGAACAGACACAGCGGAACATCAGTGTCAAGTGGACAGCTCAGAGACCGGGTCTATATACAGGTCAAGGGGGGGGGGGGGGGAGGAGTCAAACCGGGATGTGGGTGGGGGGGCTGAGCCAAGCCCTCCCTTGTCACGGTGCAGGGGGCTCGGAGGAGCGGAGGTGCCTCACGTGCGAACACGGGTAAAACCCCTTTGTTATGCTGCCAGGGGTTGGAGGAAAGGGATGGCGCGCTGCAAGGGTGCAAGTACAGCTTCATTTTTTTAGAAAGCATTAGAAATGGCTGTATAATTATAAGGTAGCTGAAGTTTGACATACAACCACTGAGAGATGGAAATGGCTGTACAATTAAAAGGCAGCTAACGTTCGACTTGATTTATTACCTCTTTCCAGCGGTTGCTCAATTTGAAACCATCCTCTCGGTTGAAGTTGTGTCTGTGTTTGTAAATCTGGATGGAACCGGACCTGCATCTTGTGTTTGTTTAGAATTTTGGAAAACGTTACCATACATAGCAGGCGTTACTAAAAGATTTCCAAAAGATCCAGGTCCGGTTCAACACAGTACACAAAATCCGTAATCTGATCCCATCCGTAAAGGATGTTATCCCTGACTTACAGTACCCCGGTGTTTACAAATTGAGTTGTACCTGCGGTGACTGCTATATCGGGGAGACGAAGCGACATATCTCTGACCGAATTCGTGAGCACAAATCAGATTTGAAACACGGCAGAACAAATTTTTCTGCCGTGGCTGATCACTGTTACTACGCTGTGGTTGATCATGATATTGTTTTCTCCGATACCAAGGTACTCTGCAAACCTACTGGTTATTATCAGAGATTTGTCCACGAGGCCATCCAGATTTACAAACACACACAACTTCAACCGAGAGGATGGTTTCAAATTGAGCAACCACTGGAAAGAGGTAATAAATCAAGTCGAACGTTCGCTGCCTTTTAATTGTACAGCCATTTCCATCTCTCAGCGGTTGTATGTCAAACTTTAGCTACCTTATAATTATACAGCCATTTCTAATGCTTTCTAAAAAAAGAAGCTGTACTTGCACCCTTGCAGCGCGCCAACCCTTTCCTACAACCCCTGGCAGCATAACAAAGGGGTTTTACCCGTGTTCGCACATGAGGCACCTCCGCTCCTCCGAGCCCCCTGGGCCGTGACAAGGGAGGGCTTGGCTCAGCCCCCCCTCCCACATCCCGGTTTGACTCCTCCCCCACCCCCCCTTGACCTGTATATAGACCCGGTCTCTGAACTGTCCACTTGACACTGATGTTCCGCTGTGTCTGTTCCACCTGAAGGAGACTTGTGTTGCCTCAGAAACGTCGTGATTTAATTGTTTTCTTTTATTTTCTTTTACCTACGTGACTTTACCGAATAAAACCAAAGAATATATGACACTTATTTACTCAGGAATATTAGGTTTCAGTGGAAGCACCCGAGGCTCATTCGACCAAGTGAAAACATTCAGGATTCTTAAGGCTTTTATGAAAATAGGATCATAATTAGTCTGAATAGGATCGGATTGCATCCAAGAGAGGCAGCACCATGAATCACGGTGTCGCTGTACGACGACTCTTTTGTTACGGGTGCTGCATAGGGAGCTGTGGGTGATGGGAGGTCATATTGCACTGTTGGTGATAGCTTTGAGTATACGGACAGGGGAATTTGGTGGTGGTTGTCCTATTGTAAGAAAGACGGCAATGCATCGTTCAAAGGACAGGTATGGAGTAGCGTCACAATGTGTGTAAATAAATGAACTCCTAACACTGGATAGCAACTGGTTGGCATAAATGATTCCTAAATAATTGGCTCAAAAGTGGCACCTGTGCAACCCTGAAACATGAAACTCTGTTACCTGGTTGTATAATCGGACCATGGAAACATTTGACGAGCCCTAAAGAGCATTTCATGAATTTCTAAAATAAAATAAAAACTAATCATTTAGATCACGTAGATAGGTTCCTATCTACGTGACTTTACCGAAAGACCCAAGAATATGCATTCCTGCAGTCACGAAAGCTTTAAGTAAAAAAAACTGTGAAGAAAAAAAGATGCCCCACCATCCAGGAATCTTATATTTACAGATATGAACAGAGGGCAGAGTCTTGCACATCATGCCAATGATAGAACCAAGACTGACTAATTTTAACTCGGGTAAATGTGCTAATTACATAAGAGTTTTAGACCAAAGCCAGAACCAATCCAAGTTTCCTCTGTGAACAGACTCCCATATAAACTGCACACCTGCTGTCAGCAAGCCTATTAAATGCTAGCACGGCGCATGATGGGGTCCGTTGTGGCTGAGATGATAACCTTGCTACCTTTGTCTCGCCAGAGCTGATGCTTGCACACCGCACTAGGTACTCATTTATGCATGTTGTGTATATTCAACTTGATTCGCACCATACGCAGCCTAGCCAACCGTGCTAATTGGAGGTGCTGGGGAAAGGCCGAGTCGAGTCTGGGGATCGCTCGCATGGTCACTTCGTACTGGTTGGTGCGTGGGAAGTCGACAAGGTGGGTCATGGTGACGAAGGGATGCGCCAGTGTCTCGAGCGGTGATATGCGCTTGTCGGCGTCCATCGTCAGCATGCGGCGCAGCAGCTCGATGAACTGGCGCCGGTCGGCTTTCTCCGCCAGCACGTCGCTGCCCTCCAGGTCCGACGCTGGGTTCACCTGCAGGCACAACATCGGCCCATTTTCGGATGCAAGAGCACAACAGCCGCCTTTCACCACGAAGCGACAGCGACGTCACCACAGCACGTGTGCAAGGCTAGGTGCATGTTTGGACCACAAGATGTATCGAAGGGTCAATCGTAAGTACATCCTTGAGACTAATGATGGCGCGGCAGCCAGAGGAGTGAACACACGAGAGAATATCCACTGCGGAGATGAAACCATGAAATAAGGTCATGCTTTACTACAAGACCTTGAGAAGATTGTGGCAGCTTGTGGAGGCCTCCATCCAGCAGCGGATTGATCATGACTGATAATGAAGACGAAGGACCTGCCGGCTAATGATGATGTGAAAGAATATCAGCCTGTGCCTCACTTAGGCACGGATGTGAAAGGACACGGTTCCCTGTTCCACGTACCACCACACTTTCCCCAAAACCTAACACCTTTTCCACTCACCTGGCCCATGTCCTCCAGGCAATTAAACATGTACTTCCTTGCCTCTTTAGATTTGATTCCCGTTTCTGCCTCGTGCTCCTCTGGGGACTGTACAGACAAACAAACCCATGCACGCACATCAAACAGATATTTGCATCCGAGTTCATCATGTGTGTGCAATCAGGGGTGAGTGAGCGAAGTGAAGCCGTGTGCGGTTGCAGTTGTAGGCATATAATTAAAAGAGCTTATATGATGTTTCAAACTAGAACAGATGTACTTGTAACATTCAAGCCAGTCTGCCTGTGCTCAAAACCTGGTTTTAGCAGGTTGGATTGCATAAGGAGCTCACCAATGTTAGGAAAACAAACCAAAAAGTTAAAGTTCTGGCAAAACTGACTCGCAAAGCTTGGCGATACCAACTACTTACGTGTCCAAAACGTTATTTTTGCCAAACAAAAAACACCATATGAAAACAGCAGTGGCATTACGCTACTTTTTTTTTCATCACCATTTCATATCGGACCTGAACATTCCTGTACCGGCCCAGCAACCAATATAAACCTGGCGACACAAGCTGTCGGTTCTCCTATGCCCAAAACATAAACGAACAGTCTGTGGCCTTGGCCTGCTCCAGCTCCTTCCCATCCTCCCCGTTCCTATGCCCACCCACACTCACTCTTTAACGCCATGGGGTCTGGTGACAGACACAGGGAGAACTGTACCTTCAGTGGGCAGTAATCCAGGTTATGATTGGGGGAGGGGTGGATTAGACGCATTGCTTTTATAAATTATTTTGTGCGACTGTATTGGCAGTGGTGCGCATGCACAAATAGCTGAATACATTTGGCAATAACACGGCCTTAAAATAAAATATCAAATGAAAAATAGATATTAGGCAACAAGTTATAACAGGCAACATTTTAGGCAATTGTCCTTCATAGCACAGGCGTGTAAAGAAGGTGAATTGCCTCAGCTTATTATGTAGTTTGATCATGGGACCTCCCTTGCCAGTGTCAAAATATGAGAATAGGTTTTACCCTTGCTGGCAATAAAACAGAAAGAACCAAAGAATATAAATAAAACAGGTGGTGTTAAGATGTTAAAACACCAAACAGAAACCCCTTTGCAAGGAATCATGTCTGCATTAACCACATGTACTTGTGGTGATGCATTGTCTTTGAAACAGTTTGGTCCACACTGTTTGAGACTATAATCGGAAGAAAGCTGTCTAGTGTGGACCAATTAGTTTCAAAGACAATGCATCATAATAACATGGTCCCAAACACAGTTCGACCCACAACCTGGATGATTTGCTCACAGATAATTGGGAATGTAACTGTATTTGTACAGCTAAGTCTTTGCGCAAGCACCTTGATCCTCCACAGAGGGTATCCTGCTCCTGTCTCGCGCTGGAAGAACCGCCCCGTCTTGGTGCCGGCACTGAGCAACTGCTCCGGTGGGAGGCCTTGAGTTGCAGAAATGTAGCGGATCTGTGAGGTTGCAAGCACATTACCATCAATCATCAGCAGCAGACGTGCCCAATCCACTCATGGATGAAGGCTTCCATCCACCATCGCTATCCCTCCTGGTAGTTAGTGGTCCAGGTGGAAGTTCTGGTGATCAACCCCCAATACCAGCTAGCTGGCATCGGTAAAAACCTCCACTGTAACATATTACATAGATATTGGCTAATGAATTTCAATGGTGATTCTTAATTCTGACGCTACAATGGCAACAGCATCACATCCCTCCGCTCACCCCACAATTTCACAAATCCTGCAATCCAATGAAGAACAGTATTCGATGTTAAGGATGGAATTGTGATTCCAGGCAAGGAATCGTTGCTAACCACCCAGCTATAAAAGCCCCCGACCCGGCCCCCGAGAGAAGTATCCCAACTGACATTAAGCGATCCAAGGGTCTAGCCACTTCGGCACCCAGCCATTTCACTTACCAGTCACCCATGGATCCAGTCACCCAGGTAACAGCCATCTATAGACCCAGCCATATTAGCACATACCACCGTATTTAGCCAGAGACCAAAGTATTCTACTGCAAGAACTCGACCACCCAAAGAGCAAGCTTCCAAGGACCCGGCCACTCAGGGACGATCTACTCAAGGTGCTCAGGAGAGGCTGACCTGGTCATACTCAGAGGCGCCAGGGTAGAGAGGCCAGCCCAGGAAAAGCTCCGCTATGACACAGCCAAGCGACCACATGTCGATGGCCTCGCAGAATGGCAGACCCAGAATGATTTCCGGAGCCCTGAGGACATATAGATGTAGTTCGCAAGAGATCACACACCTGCACATCATCCAATACTAAATATACATCAGGAGCAGGGGCTCTGTCATAATGCTTTTTTCTAATCAATCGTCTAGATAGACATTTTACCTTTGTAGAAATATGTAAAAAAAACCCACAAAGCACTCCACACCCCTTAGCTAAAGAAACAGACACTAACTTACTAAGATTAAGGCTCATGTACAAAAAGGACCCTTTCTCACCTGTAGACTTCCCCCACTCTCTCCTAAGCCTAACCCCCACCTCCCCCCCGTTCCCTCCTTTCCCCACCTGTAGTAACGAGACTGCAGGTAGGTGGAGCACACGGCCTTGGAGACGTGGCTGGCCGAGCCGAAGTCAATGACCTTGACACGGTAGGGCTGGCGCACGGGGTCCACCAGCATGATGTTCTCTGGCTTCAGGTCGGCGTGAATGAGACCCAGGCTCTTGAGCTTCATGAGTGCGCTGGCCACCTGCTGCAGCACGGGTCGGATGTACTTGAGGGGCAGCGGGCTGAAGTTGTTCTGCTTCAGGAAGTCGTAGAGGTTCTGCTCCAGCATCTCGAAGACGAGGCACGTGTGGCTCTTATGCTGGAAACACTCGTGCGCGCGCACAAAGTTGTAGTCATCGGCGCTTTCCGAGCTCAGGCGCGCGAGGATGCCCACCTCCACCTGGGCACGGGGCGCACATTGGGAACACAGAGGGAACACAGAGGGAGGCAATTATATAGTCTCTGTGAAAGACAAAATTACATTTGAAGTCAAATACCCCCCTCTGCAGTAACCAGGATTCTTCAACTGTATTTTTCAGTGGACCACATAATAAAATTAATGTGCGTTGGGTGGGTCACCTGACATATATCATTCACACAAGATACTGTGATGCCATACATCATCATGCCTTCACAACATCTGTACCTTTGTCTTACAGTCTGTTATTGTTCACATTTTTTCTTGCTTTCATCCAAATCTCGTCTACAACTCTCTAATCTCTATTTCCTGCTTATTTCTCTTTCATCTCTCTGTATCTTTGTAATCACTTAACGTTGGACACGGTGGAAGCAAAAGCCGATGTGGGGGGGAAAGAGGGCAGCCAGGCTCACCTGGCCCTGTCGAGCGTAAGACGGGTGGTTCTTCAGGATCTTGATGGCCACGATCTCGCTGGTGCCGCGCTTCCAGCATTTCACCACCTGGCCGAACGTACCGCGCCCCAGAAACTCCAGCACCTGCACGGGGAGGGGTGGGGAACACGTCACGGCAACAGCACCCGTTACCATAAGCATTACACGCCAGTCGACGTGTCCCCCATCTCAAATAAGCATGACACGGTTCCAATCCCTGTGGGCGGTCGAGGCAGTGGTAGAACTGACACGTTTGCCATGGTGGAAACAATTCCTTACTTTTGGCAACCCAATGTCTATCAAGTCAGCAATGTCATCATGAGCCAGGATCAATCCACTGCTGGGTGAAGGCCTCCTCAAGGCTTTTCCATCTCTCATATTGTACCAATGAACACATGTCTTTATTCTTGCCCACCGACCACCTTCCCTTCCTGTGACATGATATGCGCAATACAAATTATGTAAATACTCAGTCTATAACCCAGGAGTTATAATGATGCATCTGGGATGGCCCTGGATGAGATTTAAACTCACATGCAACATTTCCACCAGTGGTAAGCAGCTTCACAACCGACATACAGCCAAAGGAAGTTACTTCACACCAAAAATGTATATCGTGCAAGTTTACCTCTAACTGCAATGTTACACGGTCTAACAACGTCTCAACCCGGCCCCATATTTTTACATTAGAGAGATGATGACCCAAGGAAGTCTTCTCTATTGGGCCATCACTGAATATTCCGCAAACAGTGCTCCAACACTTGTCCTCAGACCACTGGCCCATACCTCATAGCTGTTGGTCATGGAGCGCAGGACCTCGTGTTGCACCAGTGTGTAGTCCCCATCCGCGGCTGGCCCCCCCGCCTTCCCTCCGCCACCCGCGCCACCACCGGGCACCGTGCCACCTCCACCTGCATTGCTCTGCAGCAGTGGTGGCGCTGCATGCAGGGGTGGCTCCTCGCCGACCATCAGCACGCTGCTGCCACCTCCTCTCCCACCACCTGTGCAACCACTGCCGCCCCCCATTGCGCCACCACCACCACCGCCGGCGGTGGTGGCGGCAGCAGCAGTGGCGGCGGCAGCAGCACAAGCGTCCAGCTCCTCACTCTTACGCTTGAGCCCGCAGCGCGTGTAGGTGTCCAGCAGGCTGACCGTGCTGCGCCGCATCAGGCTGTGTGTGGGGCCCCCACCCGCAGCTCCCGGCACGGCTGCCCCACCTGGCAAGGACCCTGCCCCTCCGACTGGTGGGCCTGGTCCACCGATGCCGCCCGCGAGTGGCCCCGAGCCTCCGCCGTCGTGTGGAAGGAGCGACGAGCCGGGGTCGCTGGCAGTGGCGGCGGCAGCAGCAGCAGCAGCAGCAGCGCCAACGGGCCGGAAGGCAGGGTGTCCGTGGTGGTGCTGGTGCTGGTACTTACGGCGGTAGGCAGCGGCGCCGTCATGGCAGCCGTAGCCGCTGGACTCCACCTTGAGCTTCTTGGCGCTGAAGAAGGCTCCCAAGTGTGGGGAGAACACCTGCACCTGGGAAGCCATGCCTTGGGAGTGGGGATCCGCAGTGAAGAGGCAAATATTAGTCACATGGCACTACGATTGTGAAGCATCAGCAATAACCAACATGCTTTCAACAATAACTCTCCTCTGATACGAAAGATTCCCAGATAAACCGCATTCTCATTCAGCCACATGCCCGATGGGCTGCACGCATGCAGAATTTATTTTTTCGGGTGAGGCTTGCGGCAAATATGCCATGCCTCCAACAATGTGCGACGCTTGCTGCAGTGCAATTACCCCTCTTGACCCATTCTGCTCCATGCACTCTCCCGCTCCACTCCTACGTTCCCCTTTTCCACAATTGATGTTTGTTTGCGTTGGTCCATTTATATAGCATGAACTGTTTATTCCCAGTTTGGTCCAACCCACCCAGTTAGTGTAGATTCAAGTCTAGTATATAATCCAATGGTGAAATATTAGCGCATATATACAGCATAACACTTCGAATTTCATAATGCTCTTTGAGTAAGCGGATAAGAAATTATAATTGTAATCAGCAGCCTGCTAAGGTTTAGGAAATGAAACTGACAGTAAAAAAAAGTACATTTTAATAATGATGTTGTTGCTGCAGATAAGTTCCCAAGTTTCTGAGCGTAATGTCCACTCCATGCGATACGCTATGAGGTAGAGGGCTTCCATACTTGAAGCTTAAGGAACCCAAGTGACTTTGGCCAATTATAGGCGGGGGATCGATAGGCTTGACAGATAACTCCTATTATGGAACTTTGTTAATCCACAACAACGGTGAATAATTATGCAGCGCATGTTTCACGATGCTGTACGATGAGAAAATGGTGTTATGGCCTCTGCAAAAGAGGGCAGTCGGGAAAATTTTATTTCTGGTCTGTACCACACTCCAATGTCTATGCTCCCTCCTCCATCAACCTCCAAAAAACTACAAAATTAGTAATCATGCCCCACATAAAATACCACAAACAGCTGAGATGATTGCGATATAATTCACCGTTTAGACTGTCCATCAGTGGACAACTAATGACAGGTTTCCAACCCAAAAATATAGTAATTACACCTTTGGAAAAGTATTTAATTAGCTACACGTGTCATGACCAGTTGTTTATAATCTGTTTATTGGTTTATTTTAACAACATACGAAGATGTGCATTGCCTGCACAAAAGCTCCCACCATGTGTTTATCAGCAATTTAATGTAAATATTGTATTATCAATCCAGCATTCCAACATCAAACCCCACCGTTAAGCCCCTGACACTCACTGCTCTATCAATAATCAACTGTGCTTTCATCAGTGATAGCCATTGCCAACTTATGAGCCAAGAATGTGCGACGAGAGATGTTGTGTGGTTGTGTCTCTGACGGGGTTATTCCTGTCTTGGAACAGAAGCTGCCCCGTCAGAGATGCCGCATTTAAGCCTTGGGGATAAATCTCTCTTTCTCAAGGGGCTCGGCGCTGTTCGGGGCAGTTATCCAAAACCTGTGATTATACAGACTTCAAAGGCAGTAGAGCTAAGTGATTTCCAGTCAGATAATATCCATGGTGAATTGTGCAACAAGTTCCTCCAACACCCTGGCTGCAACCCATATTCTGGGAATTTCTCAACTGTTGTCAAATGTTGATACCCACATGAAAATGTTTAACCAGGTAACCTTTGGCAAATGCCGAGTTAACAGAGTAGACTGCCAATGCTAGATAATTCTACAGAACTCAAAAACGCGAGGCTCGCCACGTGATGTATAAAGCAAAGATATTATGGTCAGTGCTGCTGCCATGAAGCACTGACATCAAGATACACACACTAACACTATGGTTTTACATACATGTTAGTTTTAAAATGTGTACGTGACAAATAATAGAACGAAAGGTGACATTTGCTAACGTTGTGCAGCATTATGCAATTTTACCGACAATACCTTGCATATGTGCAGGACAGCCTAAGGTACAAACCGTTATTTTCAAATGGAATGGCATAAATGCGTATTTAAAATAGCTAACATTCATAATGGAGACATGATGTTCAGACAGAATGTCAACTCGTTAAAAAAAATCCATTTCCACATCATGAATGAAAACTTGTACCGTTACCCACATGTTTACACATACTATATAACCACACACGCACACATACACACACGTATAGATCCCAAAGCCACTGACATCGACACAAACATATACAAGACGAAGATCATCTGACACAGGCAAATTCAATTAGTGTGTAGCTGTTGAGACTGACAGAGCACTTAAGGCATTGGCATAACGAGCACCACTCTCAGATGTCTTTGTGGGCCCCACCTGCACCACTATTTACATACCAGAGAGCATGTACTCAATTTGGCAAAACAAACAAGAGATACACCAGATTCGGAGTGGTGGCAGAGTAATTAGCACACTGCGCTAATAACCCAGCGAGCTGAGTGTTGACTCCCAGCCACGGCTAACATCAGTGAGGAGTGACATCTGAAATGGAATTGGATTCTCCCCTTCACAAAACTGCAGCAATGACCAGCAAGGTGAAGTATGGTCAAACAACCACCATCACTTACCAAGCATTGTGAGGGCCTTCATCCAGCAGAGGTTTGACAAAGAGTTGTAAATTATTATTATTCATAAACCAAGTTCAGATAATTTCCACTGCAATTGTGCATGGTGTGGAAGCAAACCCTTGTTGTTCGGGATCCCAGCACAGTGCAAAAACCACCATGTATACGCGAGGAGGGAGCCACCGTCCTTACATCACACGTACATGCATTATAAAGATACCCATTATAGCCTTAACAAACTTTTTGGGTTAAGTGATGAAAGTGAGCATCTATGAAGGCCGGCACGGCAAATGAGGGGGTGGTGAGTGCCCAGCACCATGCCCGACCGCCTTTGCCTCCCTAGTAGGCGATGTTGACACACCACACCAGGAACTAATTTGAGCCGACGATGTAGGGAAGGCCCAGGACCAGTTCAAATAAGTTGGCCATAAGCACAAATCGAACTCTGGTCACCGGGTATGTAGCGCAGAGCGCGAACCGCTACACTACCACTGCCCAAACCCACACACATTATGCAACCTAGTGATATGCCATGCCAGGACTTTACCATCACATGGCAGGGTTGGCATTTTCAAGGACTGTACCACCATTAATGTTTTTGGGATTATTCGGACGGGCCAGGCTACTGAATCCCCACTCGAGACAGCTGCTGTTATATTAGACCAAATGACGGTACTGATTTTACACTAAAGAACACCATTGCAAGCTGGTACACTTTCAATACTCAGAGCTCCTGCTATTATATTATAGCAGATGACTGATACTACACTAGAGATTATCTTAAGGTCACAACTAAAGCAGCTTAAGTTATATTTTAGTCTGTGCACTCAGACTAGATATTACACTTGTCGGTACCAATGGAGGTGGAAAATCTTAACTGTTTTTTGGAAAATCCCGAAAATAGACAATCCTCTTCTTTCATAAAGAAGGGTGTTATGTGCAATGCTGATATGTTCATGTCAAGGTTGGTGAGACAGAAGACAGCTTCAAGAGTAGCCTGGTGCATATCTGAAATGCTGTCAGTGAATAAAACAAGTGGGCAGTGGTTGAAAAAGACTGAGCATTCAACTATCACACGTTTCAAAACTGTCGCTTTTCCATCCTGTCATATGATAAAAGAGGAATTGCGATATTATGCTCGAAACAGGCTACTGATATTACACTTGAGATAGCCATAATACTCTTAACAGTTATTGCCCAACTGCTAAATAATTAAGAGAAGATCACCACCAAATAAGCGACACAAAATAATGTATTATGTAAGATTAGAATCGAATGCATTCATTTAGTTAAACTCCAGCACTGAGAATAAAACATTGATTTGACTTTCATGGCAAACATTTCCATCTTTGGCAGGGTGGGTAAAAAGGTGCTGCTCCCTACTGTGTGGAACAGAGGTCATTTGAAGGAATTTCAGAGTTAGCTCTGTGATATCCGCTTCCGTCCCATCGTTCTCTAACATTTAGGGTTACAATGCTCTGTGAGAAGTCTGAACGAATGCTTCATCTCGAGGCAGGTTGCCGACAGCACAATCAGGATAGCATTTGGGGAAAAGATAAAAAGAAAATTCGATGAAAATAAAATGCACAATTAAGAAGCATTCAGTGGAGACAAGGTAAACAAATGTATAGGCCATTAAATCAGATGCCATAAAAACCAATGGCATTTAGTAAAACCCTAAAATGTAATGTAGATGTGGAAGTAGATGCCTAGTTTAAGATTATTATAGACAATAGGTGGAGTAGACGGGAAGGAGCTCAACAATGGTTGAGACGTAGCTTTCAGAAATGTGGGACATGAGATATAAGAGATTAAATGGAGTGAGAACATGCATCGAAGACAATGAGACACTGCTGAATTGAATGCACTAGTGAATGGTTAGTCCGTGCGTAGCCTTGGGGACAGTTGTATTGTGGACACTTTTACAAGCATTACAAAGGAGTCTGCAAGGAGCTTTCCGAATTATGTGTACAACCATCTAAGCCCCGGGACAGCTGGACGGCCTCGTTGTTACCAAGTGCTGCCTCAAAGCCAGTTTTGAAACATTGCAGCACTGCTGAATACAAAACACAGTCGCAGATTTCATTAGAACAATGTTCAGGCCACTCAAAGGGAGACAATTCCACGGTGGTGAGATATCAACTACCTCGCCTGGTATACAGGAGGTCGTGGGTTCAATCCCGACCCTCACGCCTGCTGTATATTTGGAGTTTGCGTGTCTCTCTCCTCCTAGGTTGTGTGAATTTTTCTCCGGAGCGCCCAGTTGTTCCCTTGAAATTTAGAAACACTTCGGTGAGCTATCATGTGGCCAGGTCGTTTCTGAAGACGAGCTATATAGCTCAGTGGGGCCTTACCTGGTAAAATATAAAAGTATAGATTAAAATTGTTTTAACATTTTATTGTAGTGAAGTTAACTCAAGTATGAATTGTCCTAGCTTTAAATGACAACACATCTTTGTGTTAATGTAG